GGAATCGTTCAGGGGTTGCTCCTAGGACTATTTCTTCGTCGGAGTCCATTTCTGCAGTCAGATTGGTCAGAAACGCGTTATTTCGGGGTGGATGGCGGCTTGTAAGAAGGATCGAGTTGCAAGGACATGAGTTGCAACTCGTTGCAACGAGTCGTGGTGGCGTCGCGGAAGCAAATGACCCTGACGTAAGGGAACATGGCGTATCACAGTCCACCTCATGTACACGTCAGGCTGTGCCTGACCGTGCCTGGAATTACTCGGCGTTGCAGTATTAGGGAAAAGTCTGTAGCGGAATATAGTAACGCCCGGGCCTGTCAGTACATCAGGAGATCAGGAGCAGGGGGATTTGGGGGCTCCCAAATGGCGACGGCAGGCGACGGCCGTCTACGAGGCACGAAAGCAGTTACGGTGGGCAATTGGGGCTAATGGGTGGTGGTGGCCAAAAATATTTGCAGGTTTGGGATGCCGCCACATGCATATCGCGTGCAGGCATAGCGTCAGCAAGTCACCATTCAGCCAGGTTAGGCAGGATCGCCAAGCCCGCTCGACCTGCACGGCTGCTAACTCGCCAGCGATGACGCCGGACATACCGGAGTTTACGACAACACCAGGGAAATAAGCGTACGCAGGGACATTGACAGGGACCCCGCCGGACCCCTGGCCTCCTGGCTCTCTCCTTTCCTTCCCCCCTCCCCCTCCCCCCTGCGCGGCCTCCAAGCCCAGTCACCGCGTCTGCCGTTGGAGCATGGAGCCCTCCCAGGACAGTGGTCATCTGCGGTCCCTGGGTCCTAGCTTGGCCAAGCTTGGGCTCTCACTCGGCTGGGGCAAGGGCTGCACCACCCAAACGGGCAGAGCGTCTTCTCGTGATCCAATCGCTGAGAAACTGAAGCTTCCAGGAGCCAAAGCGACGACCCCATCCCAGTCCATCCCTGGCCGCCGCCTGCGATAGCGGCCGTCCTAGGATCCTTTGCCACAAATCATGCGACCTGTATAATACTCCCTCCCATCTCGTCGGTAAGACCGCCTTCCCCTCCTCGTTGCTCTCACAACACTCACCACTCCTTCACACACCGCTCACACCGCTTCACCCGTGACCGCCCGGTGGCGAAGCACGCAGCGCGCAGCGCACTCCTCAACGACCCGACCCGTACACGCCCAACAATCTCATATCATGATTTAATCGCGACCCCAGTACCATATATCACCACTCACCACCATTCACGACCCCCGCATACCCGCAACGTTTATCCGCTTGATCAGCATTTCTACTTCGAGAGACCATGAACCTCGCCGCGTCTCCGAAACACACCGACCAGGTCGCCCAGAAGAAGCTGCAGTCGCCTATCAACTTCTCCCCTCCTGCTCCTCAGCGTATCCGCATCGCGCCGCCCGTCGCGCCCCGCCGCTCAGCGACCATGCCCGCCCCCGACGTCGAGCCCCTCACTTTTGCCAAGGTGCCCATTGCGCGACCTTCGGCCAGCACGCTCCTGAACATGTCGACCGACACGGAGGTGACGTCTGACTGCGGCGAGCAGCTGTCCCGCTCGCCGTCGCTGCTTACGTCGCTTATTCAGAGCTCGCGCATCGTGTCTGCCTCGAGCAGTGTGGCCAACTCGCCCAACTCGAGCTCGCACTTCAGCTCTCTGCCGCACGCCAAGCCGATCCTCCGCCGTGTGTCATCTGGCCAGACCTCGGCCATTACCAGCGGCGACGAGCAGTCCGACCTCGAGCGCAGCAAGTCGCGCGCCAAGCCCTCTCTCGCTATCGCTCTCGGCCAGCGCCTTGAGCCCCTCGCTGAGCGCCAGGGCTCTCCCGAGCCGGCCCACCGAAGGACCCGCCTCAAGTTTGCCGTGACCCCGAGGCCGCTCCAGCTTGCGTCCGCTTGCAGCTCGCGGCGTGCCTCCCCCGAGCCCTCCTTCAGCGACGAGGACGACTATGATGACGAGGACCTGGCCACGCCTGGTTTCTACTCGGACTCGGACAACGGATATCAGGAGGACTCTGAGGATGGGTTCACCGACGACGACGAGCCCTTCCTGCCTCCTGCGCACTGGGGCCAGCGCCGACCAAGCTGGACGCCATATCGTGCCCCGTCTGCCCCCATCCTCCAGGTGTCGGCCAAGCCCGAGTGCCGTGGCCGGATCCGCATCGACGACGACCGCTCTGCAATCAAGTGCTCAAGGCATCGCAGCCCCCCTCCCGAGGCCAGGATGCGTGCGCGTGAGGCTGCGCCGCCCGCCGCTCGCTCTCCCTCGGCGTATGAGCTTTGCCGCCGAAGAGGGAGTACGGGCCAGCGGCCCTTCCTCGGCTACTCTGGCCCGAAGCCGCAGCCTCCGTCGCAGTCGCGCGGCTGGCGCTCCGACGACGCCCGCCCGCAACCGCAGCCCAGCACTGGGGCGCAGGGCGTGCAGGCGCAGCGTGCCCGCTCCCTCACGCACAAGACGAGTGCGAAGGAGCTGTCGCGCCGCGACTCGGCGCCAGCGCGCGTCGACGAGGTTCACGCCGCGGGCAAGACGGAGTGCTCCCACCCCAAGGGCGGGCTGCGCAAGGTCCTCACTGCGTTCCGATAGCTCGCATCCCATGACGAGACCGCAACATAGACCATAGATCCCCAGTTTGTTGTTGTATGTGACAGTATGGCCTGCATGACGCATCTTGCTGTGGCATGTCCGTGACATTCTCCGGTCCGAGTGTGGAGTCGGCATATGATGGCTTGGCTGGTACCGTCACACTGAGACCCTTGTTCCCCAACCTGCTCTGCGTTCCCATGACTCCATAACGCATGTGTTCACGTAGGGGCAGGTCGTGCGGACAACTCGAGACACAAATTCTCTGCTTCTCTGACAATCTGGAAACAGGATGTCTCCGGCGTGCTCCGTAGGCACACCAGGCTCGGCATATAGTCCGGCATTGACAGTGCATGTGGAACCTTTACGTCGCAATTCAGCTACAGGTCGCATTTCAACTAGAGTTCAGATGACGAGTGCATACACTCTGGGCTGTGAATGGAAGGCGCTGGCGCTGATCTCGCTCGAAGCGAGCTTGAGCCACGGATCGTTGGCTGGGTGAGAGTTTCGAGGTCCAAGGAGGATCCTCAGTCAGTTTGCTTTTGGGCGGCCGGCGGCATAAGGCAAAATGAGCCTATTTTCATTGGCCTCGCAAATTTCTAATGAAAAAGGTAAGGTTGAACTTGGACCGGATGAGCCGAGTATTCGACCTTTCGTCCCTGTTCTTTGTAGAGTGAGGATTGGGTGGAGTTTGGGTGACACTTGTGCCTCGTCTGGTCCCTGCTGGCCCTAGCTTTTACTCCAGTCGTCAGTCCGTCAGCGTCCGGGAAGCAGGGACAGACAAATGGGACCAAATACGAGGCCCATCTCGTGTCGAGGAACAGAGGAACAGAGGAACAGAGGAACAGAGGAACAGAGGGACCAAACAAACCCTCTCGACTGGAGACTGGACTGGGTCTCCACCAGGATCCACCAGGGACCATGGGGTGCGGAAACAGGCTCAACCAATCCAAGGAACAAAAGTGCGGGCGGCTCGGAGCATCACATGCTTCGTCGCGGTGGTCGCCGCGGCAAAGCCATCCATCCATTCAGTCTCCGTGCAAAGGTCTGCGGAACGAGACGTGAACCAGCCGGACGGAGTGGGGGTTCCGCTCCCTTTTCCACCTCGAGACTCGACATCAGGCATGCAGAGAATGCAGAAACATAGAGGACGGCGGGTAAGACGCCGTCGGTCGAGGCTGGCCCTTGGTGTCCGCAATGCACAATGCCGAAGGAGAGCGGTCGACATCTGGCCAGACTTTGCGAGTGCGGTGAGGAGGTGCAAACGCGGGGCCAGCTTGCCCGACGTCGAAAATGCTAGCCACTGATACACGAGCGTCGCACGCATGCTTCAGCCTGCGCAGACCTGCGTAGACCGGGTTGGGTTTCATGTAACATGTCGTCGGCTCTCGTGTACGACGTGTATCGCGAGGGCGGGGCAACGCAGACGGCCAGGCTGCCGGATGGCAGACCGAGGATCGTCAAGGTGATCTATTTACCCCCACGCACTCTCGGTTACGTCTCCTACGGGCCGAGATGTGCGGCTACATGCATGCACCCCCCGCCGTCTCAACTGAAGCGGATCTGACGCGAAACCCGTATCTCGAGGTCCGCCCCAGGTCTGGTCTGGTGTCTGCGGTCATGACAATGGATGCCCGGGACCTTACAGTACCACCACCCCACGCGTTCCGCACTCACAGCGAGATCTGGCCCACCAAGCGGCGACAGCCCTCCCCCCGTCTCAACCGTCTCTCATCCTCTGGGCAATGGAGAAGCCGAAGGTAATGTGTGGGAGCATTCCGCGGTGACTGTTCGGCACACCTGTGAGACCGCCGAACGCCGCCGCCACCCCGCATATCGCAAGCCGCATGCCTCGCTGGAACAGGTGGAACAGGTGGAACAGATGGGCACAGCCACAAACTGTGGCCGGGCCTGGAGTCATGATGGGTTGATACCCGGCAGCTGTCTGCGGCGCCTCACCCTCCTCAAGTGAAGCTATCCCGCTCGGCGACCGCTGACACTGGTTACGGCTCGGACTTGGCACGCCGATGTCTCCGCTGCCGGGCTCCAAGCCCTTTCCTCCGAGTCTAGACTCCAAACGTGAACCTCCTTCTGGTCCTTGACTGCCCACAGACACGGACGCCTCACTGGCGTACCGCCACCTGTTGCGCGCTGACCGCCTCTGAACACACAACTCGCTCAGCCTGTTCATGCTTCGTTGCGTAACAATGCCAAGTGCCTATGCATATGTCTACTTACACTACACTACAGTTTGAACGTGAATGTTCACTTTTTGCGTTTGCATTGCACAACCCAGCTGAGTGGGCTCTCGATGTTGGAGACTGCTCTCGACGCGTCGCTCAGTCTGGACGCGTCGCTCAGTCTGGGCTCGACGCAACACTGGGCGCTATGTGCCTCGTGTTACACCGCACCCCGCTTCGTCGGGCTCTCGCTCCTCTTAGGAGACCCGCCCTGGAGGCTCATAGGCCTGAGACCGCTATTCCTTCGCTCGACCGGCGGCGGTCCGGCACTCTTCCACTTGCTACCGAAGAAGCCGCTGACGCTCGCTCCCCACCCGCCGAGCGTCGATCCAATCGGCGCAAGAGGCGATGACGGCGTGTTGCTCCCGCTGCTTCCGGAGGCCTGCGACGCGAGGGACACGCCGCTCGCGCTTGCGTTGCCGACGCTCGCCTTGGAGGCCTGCGACGCACCCGATACTCGGCGCCCGTTGGCATCGCTATTCGCGGTTGCCGCGGCGCGGCGGGCACGCTCGGCCTCAAGGCGGTTGTTGACCTCGCTGCGCACACCGTCGAACGCGCGGAAGAGCGTCGAGGAAACCGTCGCGCCCGCGTTGGCTAGCGTCTCGCGTGTGCTCTCCAGCGTTTCGTCAATGCGCAGGTCGTGCAGACCCTCCGACAAACGGATAGACAAGTCAGACACGGCAGTGGCTTTGCCCTCGCATGGGTGTCGCGGCTCCGAGAGGTCAAAGATCGTCGGGTCCGTGCACTGGTCCCAGATCTCGGCAGCCGGCGTCATGCGGAAGTACTGAGCGAACGGCTCACCAAAGTTAATGAGTGGGTTGACCTCGGTCGTGACCCCCGACGCGGCGGGGGGCGCATTCGCTAACGGCCCGTGTCCAATGAAGTCGGCGTACTTGATCGATGCGAGGAAGGCGCAGATGTACTCCTCGAAACGTGCGCGCAGGTCGTCGTCGCTGCCGACAAAGCCTGGCCGTTCGCCCTCGGGGAGGTTGTACGTGTCCTCGACGACGCGCACCATCTCGTTCATCCACGTACGGTCCGCCGCCGTCAGCCCGACGACGCGTTCGAGCTTCGGGTCCGAGAACGTGAACGTGTTCTCGTCAATGTTCACGAGCAGGTCGTAAGAGCAGTCCCGCTGCTGCGTCACGATCTGGTTTGTCGTGCCCACGAGCCATGAACGCGCCGCGAGCATATCGATTTGCTGCAGCGGCAGGTACGGCTGGAAGCACGAGTCGGCTCCGAACAGGTGCAGCGCTTGAGGTCAGCTTCGCTCATGGAAAGGCGAACTCACGAAGACCCATGTACCGCAGCAGACTCGCTCGGTCGCTCGTCCTGAGGGACGTTGGTCGCGTGCGCTGTTTCCGGGCATCGAGCTCGGGCGAGCCGCAATCACGCAAAGCCATCAGGAGTCCCGGGATTAAGGAAACCAGGCTGTACTGGTACGTGCACAGCATCTCCACTGGGTATCCAAACAACATGATGCGACGCTGCAGCAGCAGCATCTTGAGAAGCACAAGCGTGCGGTGGCGGAACTTGTGGACGAGCTCGCGCAGCGAGGTGCCTGATGTTAGCTAGAGCGCTAGAATGCAGCTCACCCATGTAAATTGCGCTCTCGCCGGCCTTGCCCTCCAGGCTAGCCTCGAGGCTCGTGTAAAAGTCCTGCAGGATCTGCGTGCTGCCGAAATCGCGCTGTGCAAAGAATGCCTTCGTGACGACACCGAGACGGTCGCGGACCGGGCCAAAGACGGGCTGCGAGGCAAGCACAATGACGGCTTTCTGGACCATGCTGCGTGTCACATCGGATGACTTTTGCAGCAGATCCGCAGCAGCGATCTGTCTGTTGCACCTGATATCAGTTTCAGCCGGGAAGCTTCAACTTACGAGATGCCGAACAACGTCCTGCGTGGCGGAATCTCGCTAGTAGTCGGCCCCGTAGGATTGAAAGTACAGTGCTGTGGTTAGTTATGACAGGACGGTTGGAACTCACGAAGTAGGAGTAGTCTTCCTCGCTAAGGTGCGCTCCGTCAGGGAGGGCGAGGAAGGGGAGCAGCCGGGCAAAGTTCTCGTCGGCCATAAGGGCATCGTGGAGGGATTGCGGGTAGGCAAACTCGACCGTGGGGCCGATCTGGTGTTAGTTACGTCTCTGTCAATGGGCAACTCACAAGGTGGTTGAAGTCGACGACAGCAACGCCAAGCACGAGGTCGACATCACCGTCGCGGACGGCCGTCGTGCCAGCGTTGCTGAGGCCGAGGGACGCCGCCTTCTGGCTCGACGTCGAGTTCGCGAGGGCACCGTAAATCGTGCGTTCGCTAGCGGTCGGACTGGCGGCCTGCGCATTGCCGTTGTAGAGTCTTGTGGCCGGGCTGGAGAACTGGCTACTAGCCCGCGAGTACTCGGATGCTGGGTAAAGGGGGTCTTCCTTCCAGCCGGGAGACTCGTCACCGAATCCAACTTCCTCAAAGGACACCGACGACGTCTGCGACACGGCCGACGCACTCGACGTGTTCCGCTTGTGCTTCGACGGCGTCTTCATGTCGGGCAAGGTGGCGGGGACCTCGTCCTTCTCCTCCTCGCTGCTGGCGATGATCTCCTCCTTGTCAAATTCCTTCTCGCGCTCCTTCTGTGAGATGAGCGACTGCCGAGCGTTCTCCTTCGTAAGGATGGACTCGGCGATAGGGCCTAGGGGGCTGACAACGGGGCTCTTCGGGCTGCCGGAGCTGCTTGCGGTCGCGCTGCGGGCTGGCGAGGAAGGAATGGGAACAGGTTGCGAGGAAGCGGTGGCGATGGGAGTGCTCGTGCCGTCGTCGTCTTCCTTGTGCACGGCGCTTGCATTCATCCTGTTACCGAACAAGGCAGAGGCTGCAGCGGTCGTGGCCGATCCGTTCGCAAAGGCAGAGGACGAGCCCCATGCGGCTGCACTGTCCGAGGCGTCGCTTGCTGTACCGCTAAGATCGCTCACGTTGCTGATCCTCCTCTCGAGGGGCGAGTCAATGTCGTCGTCCTCCGGGTCACCGCCTACTCTTGACGCCATGATTGCGCCAATGTCGAGGACTGGTCTGCTGGCTGGCTTGGGCGAGGAAGGTGGTGAGCGATCAGAGGTGGAGACATTGCTGACGTTTGAGGTTTCGCGGGAGAGTTCGAGCTTGTCTGGAATGTCCTTTGCGGGGCTCATTGAGACTGAGCGGAAGGATGCCGAGCTCGGAGAGCTGGGTGGTGAGTCGTCTGTGGTTGTTGACCTAACCTCCATGGTGATTGTGGTGAGGAGGAGTCAGTCGAGGAGAGTGCCAAGTCAAAGTCGAGCCAGGAGCAGCAGGTATCACTGACTGATGCGACACGATGGCGGAGGTGCAAGGGGCACAGGGTCAGTTCTGGCGGGCGCATCAGGCACGGATATGAGCAGCACCCAGGCAGGAGCGCAGAGACAAGACTCCGCGCGTCACATCACACACGCGTATTTGATCCCGTCACATCATGCTACAGTGCAGCATGCAGCAAAGTGGTAGCGATAACGAGAGAGGGTTTTGAAAGGGTGCACTAACGATGCGCCGCCGTCTCTTTGACAACAATCCCGTACATGGCAGATCGAGGGCAATGCCATCTACTATCAAGTCAACGCCGTCTTAGATAACCGCAGAGCTTACAGCTACATACTGCGTATCTCCTCTGCACCGTCCACATCATCATGCACTTTTACCCCTTCACACATTGGCCAGACGCGATCCGAGGCGCGTCGGTCGGTCAGGGACTCTCGGCCCTGTTCTTCTCCTGCCAGCCTTGGTCCAGAGTGTGATCTCACAGGATGCTGCAGAGCCCCGCCGGGCCTCCTGTGCCTACCTACCTGACCCGCGCCGTCGTCCTCCGACAGTAGGGTTGCGTCCTTGGATCGTACTCCAGCTAAGACTTCATCGTGTCACTGACTGGCCGAAGTATGAGTCGATATCCAATCGACTTTCTCCTGAGTAACATCAGTACTTAGTACCGCACCTGCTCAAGTTCTTCCAAGTCACTTCTTATTCATCATGTATTCAAAAAACTGCCTACTAAACGAACGTTTTCCAAAAGCACTTCTTCAACACTGCTGCTTCTTCAAATTACGCTGACTTTACTTCTTGTCCGACGAGACGAGGTTGCTAACGCCCTCCTTGGCCTTCTGGAGCAGGCCGCCGGAGCTGCTGTTGTCACCGGTAGTGCCAGTGGTGGTACCAGTGGTGCCAGTAGTACCGGTGGTACCGGTGTTGTTGTTGTTACCGGTCAGCTTGGAGGCCATGCCGGAGAGACCGCCGCTGGTGCCGCCAGCCGAGGTCGTGCCGGTGGTTCCGGTGGTTCCAGTGGTGCCGGTGGTACCAGTGGTACCGACGCGGTCCGAGGCGTCGTGGTAAGCGCCGGGAATGTGCTGGCCAGAGCTGGTGGTCGAGCCAGTGGTACCGGTGGTTCCGGTAGTGCCCGTGGTGCCCGTGGTGCCGGTGCCAGTGCCGGTGGTGCCAGTGGTACCAGCAACGTGGCTGCCAGCGCCCGTAGCGCCGATGCCAGCTCCAGTGCCCGCGCCGCTCCTCAGCGTCGTGGGGCCAGTGTGGATGCCCTGCTGGCCTCCAGCGCCGTAGCCGGCCTCACCCTGGCGGAGGTGCTGGTTGTTGTGGTCGGTCGAACCAGCGCCGGCAGTGCCGCTGTGCGAGATACCAGAGCCAGCGCTGCGGCCAGAGAGGTCCTTGTCGGCGGCGGAGCCGGTGACGCCGTGTCCAGAGCGGCCGGTCAGGTCGCCCGTGTTGTCGTGCTGGGTGCGCGAGGCGCCCTGGCCGGAGTACTCCTTGGTTCCTCCGGTGGTACCGGTGGTGCCGGAGGTGCTGCGGTTGCCAGTACCAGAGCTGCCGTAGGTGTTAGAGCCCTGCTGGTGCTGCTGGTGCAGGTCGCGCTCCTTGACGCGGTCGTACTGGTGGGCGACCTCGGCGCCAGTAGGGCCCGATCCCTGGTCGTAGCTGTCGTACGCGCCGGTCACGACGGGGGGGCCGCGGCTAGTGGGGGAAGCCTGGGTGCCCGAGGCGGTGCGGCCGTGCTGGCCGTACCTGTCGAGGTTGGGGTTGGCGCGCTGCGAGTGGGACGAGAACTGGTCCTCTCCGAGACGCGCGTCGTCGATGACACCGACGAAGCGCTCCTCGTAGCCCGGTCCGGCGGTGCCGCCGGCGATGACGATGGGGCCCTCAGAGCCGTAGGCGCCGCCACGGGACGAGCCGTACTGGTCCCGTCCGCTCAGGTTGCGGTTGCGGTTCGACGAGCCATAGTTGTCATAGTCGTCGTCATCGTCGTAGCGGTTGCGGTTGCGGTTGTTGCCACTGCCGAAGTCGGAGGGGTTGGCCCATCCGCCAGCGCCGGCAATGTTGCGGCCGACGTTGCGGTTCGAGGACGAGCGGTTGTAGTAGTCGTCATCGTCGTCGTCGTACCTGTTGCGGTTGCGGCCAGCGGCGTAGCCACCAGCTCCGCCGAGAGCGGCACCACCCGCAACGCCAGCAATCTGGGCGAGGTTGCGCTGGTTGTTGCCACGTCCGACCTGGCCAGTGGAGTAGTCGTCGTCGTCGAAGCGCTCCCAGTCGCGCTGGTTGCCGCGCTGGTTGTTGCCACGGCCAAAGGTGCCACGGTTGTTACCCGAGGAGAAGTCGGAGGGGTCGGCCCAGCCGCCGGCTCCGACAATGTTGCGGCCGCTGTCGAGGTCGACGCCGCCGATAATGCCGCCACGGCCGCCGGCGCCGAAGCCCTGGCTGCGGGGGTAGTCATCGTCGTCGTCGTCGCGGTTGCGGCGGTCGCGGTGGTCCGTGCCGTCGAGGGCGTTGCCGTACTTGTCGTCAGACGAGCGGCCGTAACCTCCAGCACCGGTGCGACCCTGGGTACGCTGGCGGTCAGAGGCGCGGTTGTTGTCGTCGTCGAGGTAGGAGCCGACGGTTCCGCTGCGGTTACCCGAGCCGGAACGGTTGTAGTCGTCGTCACCGCCGTAGGGGGCAATGGCCTCAGTGCCGGTGGCACCACCGCCGTGGCGGTTGTGCAGGCGCTGGGGCTGGCCGACGACAGTCGTCTCCTGCTTGCTGCTGGTGTAGCGGCCAGAGGTGTCGTGAGGGTAGTCGGCGGCCGAGTCGCCAGTGTAGCTGTCTCCACCGGCGCCGCTCACGCCGCGCTGACCCTGACGACCCGAAGAGCCGTAGGCGGCAGCTCCGGTAGTGCCGCTGGTAGAGGTCGTGCCGCGGGTACCGGTGCGGTTGGACGAGTCGATGCCGTGCTGCTGCGCGACCTCGTCGGCGCGCTGCTGGGCGCGGGCGCCAGTGCCGACACCGCCCGAAGCGGGGGTATGGGTGGAGCGCTCCTGGGCGTCGTAGAACTGGTCGTCGTCGCTGTCGCCGTCACGGTGGCGGCGGGAGGCACCGTAAGCGCCAGCACCGGCGAGGGCGCCGGCGCCAGCACCGAGGGCGGCGTTGCGGCCAGTGTGGGACTGGTTGCGGTTCGACGAGCGGTTGTAGTCGTCATCGTCGTAGCGGCCAGAGGTACCGCGCTGGTTGCGACCGTACGAGGACTGGTTGTAGTCGTCGTCGTCGTAGCGGCCCTGTGTGCCGCGCTGGTTACGGCCAGAGCTGAAGCCCGAGCCACGGTTGTAGTCATCGTCATCGTAGCGGTTGCCGCTGCCGAAGCCGGAACGCTGGTTGCCAGAACCGTAGCGCTGGTTGTCGTAGCGGTCGTCGTAGCCGCGCTGGTTGCTGCCGTAGCGGTCGTTGTCACGGCCAAAGGCGGCGGTACCGCGGTTGCCCGAGCCGGGGTAGTTGCGGCGGTTGTCGTAGTCGTCGTCATCGTCGTCGTAACGGTTGCGACGGCCGGCAGCGTAGCCTCCAGCAGCACCCGCGCCGGCGCCGAGGGCACCAGCACCGAGGGCGCGGTTGCGGTTCGACGACGAGCGGTTGTAGTCGTCATCATCGTCGTCGTAGCGGCCTCCGCGGTTACGGCTACCGTAGCCGGAACCACGGTTGTAGTCATCGTCATCGTAGCGGCCAGAGGTGTTGCGGCCACCCTGGAGCTCGGCGGGGTTGGCCCAGCCGCCGGCACCGGCGACGTTGCGGCCTACATTGCGGTTACGGTTGGACGAGCGGTTGTAGTCGTCGTCGTCATCATCGTAGCGACCACCACGCTGGTTGCGGCCGTAGCCGGAGCGGTTGTAGTCATCGTCGTCATCGTCGTAGCGGCCGCCACGCTGGTTGCGGCCACCGGCGATGCCGAGAGGAGTGCTGCCGGCGTTGGAGCCGATGCGGCGCTGCTGGTTGGTGTCGTCGATGTAGCGGCCCGACTGGGGGTCGTAGATCTGCGACTGCTGCGCGATGGGACGGCCCTGGCTGTCGTACGCACCCGCGGCACGAGAGCCACGGACAGTGCTCCAGCTGCCGTCGGGGTTGCGCCTGCGCTCCTCGTGCTCGGCAGCGAGGTAGGCAGCACCAGCACCAAGTGCACCACCGGCACCAGCGCCGAGGAGGGCGTTGCGACCGGTGTGGTCGTCGTCGTAGTCGTCCTGGCCACGGACGCCGGTCTGGCGGTTGTAGCCACGGTCGCCACGGTTGTTGTTGTAGTCGCGGTCGCGACCGTCGCCGGAGCCAGAGTAGACAGCACCGGTGGCACGGTTGTCGCGGCCAGAGCCGGGGTAGTTCTGGCGCGAGTCGTGGTCGTCGTAGCGACCAGACTGGTTGCGGCCGGTCTGACCGGTCTGGCCAGTCTGAGTGCGACCAGTGCCGGTCTGGTTGCGGCCAGACTGGTTGTAGTGGTGGTCGTCATCGTCGTGGTCGCGGTGGCGGCCGGCGGCGTAGCCACCAGCGGCACCAGCACCAGCACCAGCGGCGCCGGCGCCAAGGGCACGGTTGCGGTCGTGGTGGTCGTCGTGGTCATCGTAGTGGCCCGACTGGTTGTAACCGCGGCCAGACTGGTCGCGGTCAGAGTAGCTGCGCGAGCCCTGGGTACCCTGGGTGCCTTGGGTGCCGCGAGTGCCAGTAGTACCGGTGGTGCCGTGGGTGCCAGTGGCACCGGTCGTGCCGGCAGTGCCAGTGGTGCCCCTGGTGCCAGTGGTACCGGTGGTACCAGTAGTGCCAGTGTGGTGGTCGTGGTCGTCATAACCACGCTGGCCCTGGGTGCCCTGCTGGTTGTTGTTGTTGGTAGAGACGAACTGACCAGTGTGAGGGTCGACACGGCCGTCACGCTGGGAGATGGGGTTGCCGTTCTTGTCGTAGACGGTCTGGTGGCCCTTGTCGCCGTGGCGGGCGGCAGCGGCGCCACCAGCGGCACCGGCAGCAGCACCAGCACCGGCGCCGAGAGCGGCGGCAGTGCCGGATCCGTGGCCGGAGTGGTCAGTGGTACCAGTGGTACCGCGCTGGCCCTGGGTGCCCTGGGTACCCTGCTGGCCGGCGGCAACGGTGCCAGTCTGGCTGGGGTGGCCGGTCTGGCCGGTCTGGCTGGGGTGACCAGTCTGGCCAGTCTGGCCGCGCTGACCCTGCTGACCCTGCTGGCCGGCGAAGCCAGAGCCGCCCTTGGGGCGGCCGTCAGAGTCGAAGAAGATCTCGGAGCCAGGCTGCTCAACGTAGCGGCCAGTGTTCATGTCAAGAACAGAGGTCTTCTCCTTGATAGGCTTGCCGGTCTTGCCGTCGATGAGGGTCTTCGTCTCAATGCCACCATGGGTGGTGTACGAGCCGTCGGGGTGGACGGTGCGGTCCTCGGAGCGGTGGGTCGCGACGTAGTTGGCGCCGTCGGCTGAGGGGAGGAACTTGGCACCGCCGGCGGCAGTGCCGGCCGCGTGCTTGACGTGGTCCTTGTCCCAGTTGCCCTGGTTCTCGTACTTGCCCGTGTTGGGGTCGAAGACGGCACCAGTGCCCTGCTGGCCGCGCTGACCCTGCTGGCCCTGCTGGCCGTGGTGGCCTGCAGCGTAGCCACCGGCAGCGCCGGCGGCGGCACCAGCGGCTCCAGCGCCGAGGGCGGTACCGTAGCCGCCGTGGCCCTGCTGCTGCTGCTGGGCGTAGCGGGGGTCCTGCTGACCAGCGACACCACCTTGCTGAGCGTAGCGAGGGTCGTTGGTGTTGACGCCCCGGCCACCGGCACCGCCAGCCGCGATGTTCTGAGTAGCCTGGTCGGCGCGCAGGTTGTGGCGCATGCCGGCGGCGGTGCGCTCGCGAGGCGGGACGATGGTGAAAGCGTCCGAGTGCCAGGTGGGACCCTGGTGGGCGCGGCGCTGCTGGTAGAGGGCCTTGTTGGTGATCGAGTCGGGGGCCTTGTCGACGCCGTGGGCAGAGAAGAGCTCCTGGTCGGGCGAAGTGACGATGGCGAACTGGGCGTTGCGCTCGTCCTTCTTGGCCTGAGCCTTCTCCTTGTTGGCCTGGGCGGAGCGCTTCTTGTGCGAGTAGAGCTGCTTGAGCGCTTCCTGGCGCGTGACGCCGTCAGTGTCCTTGGCGTCGGCCATGGTGTTGCGGACGGAGACAAGCTGCTCGTCGACAAACTCGAGGCCTGAACGGATGGCATCGTTGATAGCCTTGGAGATGGCCTTCTTGATGGCGGACGTGGCCGCGGGCTTGATGAACTTGTAAAGCGTGTCGTGCTTGGTGTCACGGAGCTTGAACGAGAGATCGTCGACGTCAGTCTTGACGTGGCCGATGCGGTAAACCTCGTCGCGCCTGGTAGGGCGGATAACCTCGATCATGATGTCGACGCTAATACCGTTGCCCGAGACAACGACGTCGGCGAAACCGCTGTCAGAGAGCTTGGGGAAGCCCGACTTCTTGCGGAAGGCAAACTTGACATCGCGAATGTCGGCCTGGATCTGGCTGAGCTGAATGCGCACGGTGTTGTACGACTTGTCACCGATCTGCTGGTACGGCGAGAACGAGAAGCGGTTGCGGTTGTCGAACTCGATCGTGTTCGGGAACAGGTTGGGGCCCGAGAGCACAACGTTGTCGACGACGAGGTCGAGCTTGTCGTCGGTGTACTCGGCACGCGGGATGGGGAAGTATCCCAGGTGACGGATGAGCGAGGGGAGGATGACCTGGCGGATGTCCTGCCAAAGCTCGGGCTTGAAGGTGAGCTTGCCGTCGCCGTCGAACAGGAGGTCCTTGGTAAGACGGTGCCAGTCCTCGCCGAACTGGTGGTTGAGCTCGTCCTGGTCAAACTCCTTGAGCCAGCTCGAGAGCTGGTCGAAGAGGTTGTCCCAGTGGCCCTTGTACTTGCCCTCGAAGAAGCTGCGGCCCTGGTTGACGAGCTGCTGACCCTGCTGGTCCGACTGGTCCTCGAGAATGTAGCCGGGCTTGAGGAGGACGGCGCGAACGTACTTGGAGACGTTGGACCACCACTGGTGGAGCTGGGGGTCGTTCTTGGCATCGGTGTAGAGCTGGTCAACAGCGTTGCGGACACCGGTGAGGGGAGTGTTGTTGGCGAAGCGCTCGAGGATGGTGATCCAGTCCTCGGTGACGCTCTGGACCTGGCCGTTGGAGCCGGCACCCTGGGCGGCGCCCTTGGTGACGCTAGCGCCGTGAGCCTTGTACTTGTCAAAGGTGTCGAGCAGCCAGCTCATGGACTCCTCGTACTGAGGGTCCTGCTGGAGCTCAACGACGGCCTTCTTGAGGCGCTGGACGAAGCGCTGGCGGCGCTCCTCGGGGAGGACCTCGTTAACAGTGTCCTTGGCGTCGCTCTTGGCCGTGCTGCCGGCCTGGGACGCCTTCTGCTTGGCGTGCTGCTTGCGCTCGTCCTTGCTCATGCCGCGCTGGGGGTCCTGAGCCTGGGCTGACTGGGGAGCCTCATCGGCAGTCTTGTCAATGTGCTCGAGCTGCTCATCGCTGGGGGCAGCGCGAGAGGCGGCGCGCGAGGCGCCAGAGGCGAAGAGCTGACGTCCAACGACGCCGGCATCCTTGACGAGCTTGCGCACCTCGCCGTTGGAGAGGAAGAGCTTGACGAGGGTCTTGATCTCCTCGGCAGCCTTCTGGCCGTCCTGCTTGACGGTCTGCTTGTTGGCGGGGTCGGCGCCACCAGCCTCGCCGCCGGCCTTGATGTCGTCGCGGAAACCTTGGTTGTCGACGTGGGCCGAGGCGTAGATCGTGTCCTGGATGAGCTCATCGGGGTTCTTGGCCGCGATGATCTCGCGAGACGTGCCGATGATGTCACGGAAGTCCTCAATGAGCTGCTGGCCCGCGGGCGAGAGCTTGCGGAGGTCGATCGGGCTGTTGTCCTCGGCGTAGGCGAGGGTAGAGTCAATCTGGTTGTTGTCGGGGAGGTTGCTGCCAGGATTAGCCACTGCCTCGGCTCCGAGCGATCCACGATCCAACGCCGTGGCGTCGACGACACTCACCCATTCATAAAGGCCTGAATGACACCGTAGAGCTTGAGCTTCTTGTCTACATCTCTTCTCTTGTCCTGCTCGTTCGAGGCGACGGTGACCTGCCCCTTGGAGGGGTTGGCGCTGACGCCGCTGTGAGTCTGCACTGCAGAGAGCGGTTAGCTCCTTTCGCTTGCTCGCGATCGGGAAGATCGGGGCCACCGGCGACCGAGACGACGTCGGCGAGCTCCGCGGCGACCCCTCGGCGATGGAAGGCTTTCGCCTCTCGCCAAGCTGGGTACTCACTGGCAAAAGGATGTGTAAGTGTACGATGGGGAGACACTCTTCCCGCCCAGAACACTTATATTTGTATGACGCTGTATGACGACGGTCCTCGGAGGGGCCGGGGGGAAGAAGTGGAGTGGTCCGGAGGTGCTGCTGCCTCTGACAGCTGCTCACAGTATGGGAACCGCCCAGCGAGCAGTGCTTGGAGCCAGCCCGCAGGTGTCCACATCCAGACGCGAAGACGTCATAGCTGCTTCGTCCCCTGCCACTTCCCTTCCAGGTCCCCTTGGTCCCTAGGAGGCCAGACGCGGTCCGCTGGGTGCACCTGGTGCATAACACCCACCGTACCCACCCAGCAAGCTCGGAAGGTGGTGTCAGGCAGGTGCAAGGCGGGCCAGGCGGGGTCGGAAGGCAGGGTGGTGAGAGTCGTGTTGGTCGTCCCAAGAAATCAATGAGGGTATGATGTCATTGCCAACTTTACGTCTGGATCGTCATCCCCCGCTCCCTCCTGCGTGCTTTCCGTCCTTGCCGTGCTTTCCGTGCTTGCCGTTCCCAGCGCATCCCTGCATTCCGCCTTACGCGCCTGGTATGGTGGGGACCTGATCCCAGATCACGCAGGTATGCATCCACTCGCAGAAGAGGTACGCGTGGTGTGTCGGTTAAGGACAGCAGGGCCAGGAGAGGCACTGTGCCAACTGGTGTCCCAAAATGAACCAGCCCTGAGGTCCTCATCTTGCAGCGCAGCAACGACTGTGCGCACACAACACACGCGGTAGAACGCGGCGTACACGTCGTCGTCTTCCATACTTCCGCCCCAAGCTCTGCGGGCCGGAGACTTGCCGGATCTGGCTTGGCCAGATGCACAGCCAGCAGTGTGGTATCAGGGGCACAGACTGCCTCCGATGAGGGCGAACCGTATCCTCCTGGTCCGCTGAGCCTTGCGGCCGTCTCCTTTCGAGCTCGTTACGACCGTCTTCACCCCTGACGATCTGGCGAGCCTCGTTGCGATTCCAGATGCGCTCATCAACATGCCGGCTGCCAGTCTCCATGCCTTGTCCTAACCTCGGCTCAAGCGGTCCGGCGTCGCTGCACCCTTGCCTTGACGGAGGTGTCACGGGTCCAGACAGAGCTAGCGGGAGCTCGGAACCTGCCCTTCCTTATTCCTTGCCCATCTTACCATTGCCTTCAGTCCAGACCGCACATGCTTGCGTGCTGATTGGCGCAGCACATGCATCGTGCGTGCTATGCTAGCAGCACGAAGGGAGGCAGCACCATTCAGTTGATCGAGGGCACGACCGACGAGACCGAGAGCCCACTTGGAAGTCTAACTTGCTATGACGCCATACCCTCCTCTTTGCTGGATGCTGGGCCAAGGTACGCACGCTTTCTTGCACTTGCACTCCGGGCATGTCGGTGCATGCTTGAGGGAGCCGGGAACCCCGGGGCCACTGGCGTCCCGATGGCGCTTGATATGATGCTGGGAGTGAAACAGCGAGGCACGTTCCTCTGGGTAGTTTCTGGTTGCAGCTTGTGCTCTGTGCTGCTTTGCTCGCCTCCTCTAAAGCTCCGAGGATCGACACTGGCTTATTGGAACGCTGGAGCTGGAACACGGCGCCACTGACGCGCGCTGACGCGACCCCGCAGCCACACCATGCCGCTATCTCCGAGATCTGCATGCAAGTCGCGCAGCATAGCTGTGCGGGCAAGCATGGTGCGTCACCGATGCACGTTGCACACTCCGTAGCGGTTCTGTCCCGGCGAGCGCAGTACACGGAACGCACCGAAAACGGACGAGGGACAGGTGACTGCCGTTCCGGCTGTAGCGATGGCGTCATAGACGGCTGCGCCTGACTTCCTGACTCTTTGCGGTTGACTTTGGGTGCTTGTTTCAACTGGCTGCCTGTGTCATAGACGTCATAGCTGGCTGACGACGCTCGAAACTTGGTGGGCTTGCTCTGCTGGGCAGTTTTGAACTATGGGTGAGAGTGAGCCGGTAGGTCCAGTGATGGGCAGTCACCCATCGAACTAGTGTTGAGTGGAGGCCACGAGCGTCGCACACTCGAACAAGTGGCAGAATCGTCCCGCGGTGGACGGATCTGTGTGCCAGTGTCGGTCTATTTGTAATGTGTGCAATGATGCGTGCTAAGATTACTGATCGGTGCTTGATGTGGATGACTCTGGTTTGAGTTTTATGACAGATGGCCATATCTGAGGCTCGGCTCCAGCCAGTACGTTGTTACTACCGTCGCCTTGAAGGTTGTTGCCCAGGCAAGCGCGGATGGACAATCACCCTCGCCGGTGAACGGAGGGTGATGCAGTCGTAGCTGCTCGGCGCGAGGTTTAAGTCCTCCACGTCCTCTTGACGGCGCCCATCTGGTCACGGAGCCAGTTGAACCATTCCCTCCCCACGTAGAAGTAGAAGACGCCAAACATGGCTCCGCAGAAGTGCGCGACGTGGTCAAACATCTTCCAACCCCTCAGGATACCGACGACGTCGAGGGCGATCATTCCCGCGACGCCGACGCCAATCGGGATCTGGATGAATGGGAGGAAGATGATACTAACGTGGCTGTTGGGGAAGGCGAGCGCGACCATCGAGAGCATGGCGTAGATAGCTCCAGAGGCGCCGAGGGAGGGGAGGATGGCGTTGTGTGCCGCGAGCGCGTTGGCAGGGCTGAGGCGCGCAGGCGACAGAAGCGCACGCATGAGACGCGGCAACCGCACAACATTCGTGTACAGGTGCGAACCGAGGGAGGCCGCGAGACCAGCGACGGCGAAGAAGGCGAGGAACTGGGGCACGTCGTCGCACGTTGGGAGCGAGTAGTCGTTCTGCGCCATGTAGACGTAGGCTGCGTTGCCAAAGGAGATGAGCGCGACGCCGTTGAACACAAAGTGCCACAGGTCCTTGTGCGACACGACGGAGGTCAGCATGGTGGTGCACGAGCGCGGCTCGCCGCCGCGGAACACGACGGGGAAGTGCGTGAACCACTTGCGCATGAAGGGCTGGTTGCGCCTGATTTGCCAAGCGAGGAAGACGGGGATCATGATTCCAAACAGAATAGCGGGACCACGCTCAGCGGGCGATTGATTCAGCTGCCACTCCTTCACCATGATGTAGGTCCGGAGGATGAAGACCTGCAGGCCATGGGGAAGGCCCGACAGCTTCTCCTTCAGCTCCTCGACCGTCTGCTGGGCCTCGGCGGCAAGCGTCCGGCGCTTCGTGCGGTTGATTTCGCCGTTCGAAGGTGTGAAGAGAGAGTAACTCTTGACCTGCGAGATCCAGTACGCAGTCTCCTGGTTCGTGTACCAGGCCGCGAAGGCAAAGGCGAGGAGAGAGAAGACAATGGAGAACTGATGTTAGCGGCTACAGAAGGCTATTACGTCTAGCCCGGCAACTATCCCATGCGGCACAATCATGTCCCTCAATCCTTACTCACCATAATGGGGACGACGATACTGGGCTCCGGCAGAGCACCAGCCTCGGCGGCGCCCTGAATTGGGATCGCGATGCGCTTCGGCCTGATGCGGCCCAGGCGCTGGAGGACGGCAGACGAGGACGAGAATGTTCTTCCAGTGGCACGTAGCGAGGGAGCAGAACGAGAAGACGTGAAACCGAGACCAAAGGAAGCTCCAGGCTGTGCTCGGAGCTGAGAGACGACGGAGGAAGGGCCCTTTCGCGCGGACTGGGTGCTCAGGTTGCGAAGCATGTTGGCACACGGGGCCCGCAGTGGCCGCAGCACTGAAGCCGCCGGGACTGGCGTCCTCGCGCCGAGACTGAGGCCCACGGCGAGGAGGCCTGATCGGAGGAGCATTTGATGGTGGGTGGGTAAGAGTGAGTGGAAAATGTCAGGAGCAGCCGGGGAAGATCAAAGTGGAGGGGGTGGAGGGTGATGCTGGTGGAGGTCCGAGTTCATGTTCGCCGCCGAGCCGCGTCAGCCAAAGGGGAACCAAAAGAGGTAAAGTGGCGGTGGCAAAAAAAGTTCGAAAGACCACAACACCTTTGAGAATGCATAAAAGTCCAAGGGTATATACAGGAGGAAAATCTATGCCAGAACCAACGGGTACTATGGGTAGTCTGTACAGTCTACGGAATGGATTCGTTGCGCTGTCGTGTCGTTCATTGTCCTTTTAGTCCTTCTTGAAGTACTCGCGTCCGCGGGCGTCGGTCTTGGTCCAGACAGCGACTGACTGGGCAGGGCACGAGAACTCGGCCCATCCGTCGTCGCCAATGGTGACCTCACCCTGCGTCCAGCCGAGGACGTCGGACCACTTCTCGCCCGCGTGCTCCTTGCCGACCTCGACGCGCTTCGTGCCCGCCTCGGAGCCGTTGCACGCAACACACACAAGACCATCGTGGTCGTCGTCGCCCTTGCGCAGCCAAGCGACACAGTTGGCGTGGTCCCAGTAGTCGACCTGGTCACCGTAGGCAAACTCCTTGCGAGCACGCACGAGGTCCTCGAGCTGGTTCACCGCCTGCTGCGGGTTGTCGCCGCCGCAGCCGTACAGGTCGCCGTAGAAGACGCAGGGGTAGCCCTCACCGCGGAGGAGGATGAGCGAGTAGGCAATGGGCTTGAACCACGGCGCAACCCAGTTCTGCAGCGACTGGCCGACCTGCGTGTCGTGGTTGTCGACGAGAGTGACGGCGTCGATGGGGCGGGACTGCACGAGCGTGTCGTCAAAGATCTTGCGCAGGTCGTAGCTGTTGCCCGCCTCCGAGGCCTCCTTGAAGTTGCCCTGGAGGGGCGTGTCGAAGACGGAGAACTGCGTGCCAAGGCCATCGAGGTAGGCGTTGAGGGCGGGCACCGAGTCCTTCCAGAACTCGCCGACACAGAAGAGGTTGTCGTTGCCGACCTTCTCCTTGACGTGCTTGACAAAGTCGCCGATGAACTCACGCGAAATGTGCTTGACGGCGTCGAAGCGGAAGCCGTACGCGCCCGTCTCGTTCAGAACCCACTCGCCCCACTTGAAGAGGTCATCGCGCACCTCGGGGTGCTCGTGGTCAATGTCCGAGAACATGAGGTAGTCATAGTTGGCGTTCTCGGTGTCGACATCATCGGCCCAGTCCTTGCCGTCGCCCTTAATCTTGAAGATCGCCTTGGTGTCCGTCTTGGCGTCGTAGTCGATGCCCGTGAAGTGGTTAAAGTTCCACTCCATCTGGGAGTAGGCCTTGTCGGCCTTGTCCTTGGGCTTGGCGTCGCCGTTGGCGTCACCGTTGGCGTCACCGTTGGCATCCCCGTTGGCGTCACCGTTGGCGTGGCCGTTCGCCTCGCCGTTCTCCTTGCCCTCGCCCGAACGGCCGGGGAAGGTAAACTTGGTCCAGCCCTCAATGTCGTAGGGGTCGGAGACAGTCTTGGTGCGGTCGTTGCGGTCGACCATGGTGGCCTTGAAGAGCTCCTTCTCGTCTGCGCCAGCCTGCACACGAGCGTCAGCGAGTGTCCTGAGCGAGTGAGGTGAGTGCACAGCTTGCGAAGCGAGTTTGCGCTGCTTCACTACTACCGCCTCGCGGGCATAGATGAAGCGAGTCCCGGATGGGACTGAGCCCCGCCTCAGCACCCCGACCCTGCCCCGACTCGACTCACCTTGTGATTCAGCACCGCGTCAATGTACGTGATGATCTTGTGCTTCTTTGCCTCCTCGATGGCGTCGAGCAGGTCCTGCTTGCTACCCCAGTGCGTCGGCTTGGCGCCCTTCTGGTCAAACTCGCCGAGGTCCCAGAGGTCGTAGCTGCGGGCGTGATTAGCGAGCGAAGCGAGCTAATCGCGAGCACGCCGGAGCGGAGAGAACACGCTGCCTACAGTAGGAGCCGGGGTGGTCCGCAAGGAACGGAACACTTCGCGAGAGAGCATGGAGAGGGAGGTGTGCCCGCTGAGAAGGCGAGAGGGCTATCGGAAACGAGGATGGGGGTCACAGAAGGAACGCTTGGAGTGATCGCAGCTGCCGCGGCTGCGGAAGTCGTTCTCACACAGTCCCTCTCTGTCCCATTCCGTCGACCATCCAACTATGCCGTTACTCCAGCCTGGCATCCTGGGAGAATGCTTCCAAGCTTCTCTTGCCTACCGTCTATGCAAGCCCACCTTTACACAAGGTGTTGCTCCTCCATCTGGGGAAGCCCAAGACGCTACGCCGCCATCCCTACCCCTGCGTTCCTCTCCGCTCCGCTCCGAGTGAACTCACATGTCATACCCAGTACCCTCGGGCGAGCTCCCCTTCGTAGGCGGCGGCACCCAGCACGCCGTGATGCCCATCTCGGCGAGATGCGCGGCGTCCTCCTTGTACTTCTTCCAGTGCACGCCGTTGCCGGGAGCGTACCATTCAAAGTACTGCATCATCGTGAAGTTGTCTGGGCGTCAGCGCTGTTGCTCACCGCCGAGCCCGTCGAGCCCGCCGAGCCCGCCGAGCAAAGCGAGGTGCGCAGCGAGGTGGGAAGCAGGACAGAGAGAGCAGACTGAAGCAAGCGAGGGAGAGCGAGAGGGCGAGCGGTAGCGAGTGAGAGAAGGCATCACAGTCGACCTTCCCTCCATCCTCCGCATGCATGCGGGAATGCTCGCTGCTTCGGCTGCAGGAATAATCTGCGGACAACGGCCACGATTGCGATACATCGCGGAAACGTATCGACGCCATCTGGGCTGTACGCCAGGTACGCCAGGCTCACAAGAAGGTGACTCACCCTTGTTGTCCTCCCCCCTATGCTGCCTATTCGCGTTCGTGGCCATCTTTGCTTCGTGTTGTTGTTGTTCTCCGTCGTCGTGAAGAAAAAAAGTCGAGTGAAGATCTCTCAGTTACGCGTTTTAAGCTCTGCTAGCTCTGCTCGTGGTAGGATAGGCACGACCCCACTCTGTTTCCCTCCCTTCCAGTTCTTGCATACCTCCCACCTTGATCCAATTCTGCAGAGCGCGTCTCCCCGTTGTGCTAGCCGTGCTGGCACCGGATTTACCGCTGCGTCCCGCTGGGCGCTGGGAATGGGGGGGGGATGAATGTCTGGCGCGCATGAAAAAGGAACAGGCACACCCACCTGGAACACTGAGCGGACGAGGTACCCGATCGCCATGACGTCAGTCCCCACCCCCTGCCGCTGACTGCCGCAAGGGACCGCCCGTGGCCCAGACTTTCTCTCTCCCTGTAAACAAGACCTGACAGCGTTCAAGTGTGCGGCAAGGAGAGCATTTATTTTGCATCCAATCATTCTACAGCATCTACAAGCACCAAGACCCGCCGTATACACATTCGAATCGATACGAGACAATGAGCGTGTGCGGATAGGTGTCACAAAGGAGAGTATTAGAGCTGAATGGAGATGAATGGAAGATTATGCCGGTCTTTAGACCGGACTTGGGCCGCTGGGGCTCGACTCACGCCGAGGGCGCCGAAGTGATCGGCGTCACAGGCGTCAGCGGCGCAGGGTCACTTGCCGTGACGGGCGTGGCTGTTCCCGTCGGCGCGGCCGTGGTAGCGGGCGTCGGACCGGGCGTGGCCGCCCCGTCTAACAAATTGCGCGCTCCCAAGATACGTTTCGCCAACGCGCCCACATTAGCATCGGCTATGACCACGTCGTGGCTCAGTTCCACGCCATAGGTCCACTCGAGCATTTGCTGGATGTGCCGGACCTGGTGCTCGTCCATTAGCACAAAGTCGTCTGGATCTTGCAGCGGTCCCTCGCTTAGGGCTTCGGGCGGGGGACTGCCGGGCACACTGTCCGAAGACACTGAACCGTGCGCGATTTCGTTGGCCAGCTCGCTGATGGCGAGAGGGGCCGGGCGACCCGCGACCGACGAGGTGGTCGAGACCTGCGAGGCGGTCGATCCTTCGCGGACATGAACCGGCGCGTCGGGAGCGCTGATGCTCAACTGGCGGCGAGTCGACTTGGCCAGCTTGCGCGCCGACCGGGGGACGAGGGACGCCTGCCCCTCGAGCGCGAAGCACACAATGTTCATCACCGTGTCGTGCACGGCGCGGTAGGAGTGCATCTGCGCGGGGTCGGGCTTGTCCACTGAGATTGTCAGTTCACTTCCATCGTGTGCCGAACTGCGGTTCCCCGGCCCCTCAAGACTTACCGTAGATCTCAATAGGCGAGATGATGGACATGACGTTATGCTTTCCATCATGGTGGTAGCGCAGTTCGTACATGCCTGGAGCCCACGGCAGCCTCTTGCCGCGGAACACGGCAATGCCGGCGTCGCCTTCCTCGACGCGCTCTTCCGGGGCGACAGTGCGCTGCTCCTCGCCACGGTACTCCTCCTCAAAGATCGGGACCCACTTGCCGCGGGAAGAAACCTTCGTGACGAGCTTGGACTTGCTCGCGCCGACGCGGTAGATGCCGATCCAGTCCTTGCGCGAGTGGTTCGAGGGCGCAGTCCACGAGACGCGGATCGGCTGGCCGACGTGGTACCGGGGAATAGAAGAGGCGGTCGAGGAGGAAGGCAGAGTGATGCTGTAGCGCGACGTGTCGTACGCCGACATGTCCTTGGCCACACGCGTAATAGTCATATGCTCGCGCACGTCGGTGAGGAGATTCTTGGTGTCATTCGCGAGGCCATGGAGCCTGGGCCGAGCTGATTGTCAGTTGCATGGTTGTCGGAGGCCAACTCACCATTTTCGATAAGCTCCTCGACCGTCTCGGCCACCTTGGCCTCGACCTTTTCGATCGAGTCGCGCACCTCGTCGACGTAGCGCTTCACGTTGCTGACGCCGCCAGCCTGAGACGAGCGCAGCGTCTGCCTTGCCATAGTCTTGACCGTCTTAGTGAGACCGCCGTCCTTGCGCAGCCGGTCGCCGTAAAGCCTCTTCATGTGCGGCGCCTCAACAAACGAGAGGAACCACCAGTGGCTCAGGTGCGAGAACGCCGCGAGCACAAAGACGAGAACCGAGTTGGACATGAGCGCCAGGCCGAGGAAGGCCGCGCCGCCAAGCGAGCGCTCGGGGTTGTTCAGGAAGCGGTAGATGCCGGTGTACGCCAGGTTGGAGGGGACCTTGTCGAAGAGGAAGAAGTCAGAGTAGAACCAGCCAAAGTCACCGAGCACCTCGTAGATGCTCGTCGCGGACCACACGTGAAGCGCCACAAGCAGCGCGCCGAGGACGTGGCGCAGGATCGTGCCGCTGATCGTCCAGTCGGCGGGGAGGTGGTAGGTCTTCCACGCCAGCCCCGCGAAGGAAATGTACGTCATAACAACGGAAATGTTGTACACGGCCTGCCAGTTCTGGAATGCCTCCTCGGTCGCGCGCGTGACCACGTTCTTGTCCGCGCCCGTCTCTTCGTCCGTGTCGCTCTCATCGTCCGAGGGGTACGGATAGTTGTTCAGGTAGTGTCGGACGAGCCACTTGGTCTTGCTCTGCGCGCGGAGGACGAGGCCGAGACCATAGCTGTGGAACAGGCGCCAGGCGAGTGCGTGCACGAAGTGCGCGGCAAGGCCGAGGCTCTTAGGCAGGGCGGGGACGAGGGCGAAGACGGCGTACGAGATCAGCACAACGAGGGCAAAGTCGGTCGCGCGGAAAACGTCAAGGTTGCTGCAGATCACGACGGGGTTGCGGAAGAAGCGATGGGTGAGGTCGTGGATGCTCGTGCTGAGGGCGCGGGAGCGGCGAACGCGCTCGCGCTCCAGAGACCGGTCAATCGAGTCGACACCCGCGTAGGCAGAGACACCGGAAATGCCGAGTCCGCCGTGCTCGGGAAGCTCGGGGATCTCGGGCTCGGTCTCCGTCTCGCCCTCGGTCTGGCCGGGGGTCGAGGCATCGTGTGCGTAGGAAAAGTTGGACTCGACGGCGTGCTCGTCGACCGAAGCCGTCGAGGGAGGCACGGACAGGTCGATCGGGATACGAGCCGCAAGCGGCTTCTTCGGTCCGCCATACGTGCGCTCGATGTGCGGGTTCTCAAACCACAGGAGGAAGGCAAACTGAGCCGCGTGCGCCGCGAGCGACACAAAGAGAACAGCGTATGATCCGACGACTAAATGTCAGCTTTCTCATCCGCTTTGTAACTTACCAATCGAGAGACCATAGTAACCGGCATAACCGACCGAGTACATCGGGTGAGGGGCGATCTCGTAGACACCATCAAAGACGAGGTCGTGCTGCATAACCATGAGCCAGAAAGCGTCGCCCCAGTACCAGGCGTAGTCCTTGACGACGCGGTGAGCGTCCATCTTGACCCAGAGGTTGAAAACGATGAGGGACCAGCCAAAGACCCAGCGGAAGATGTGCATGAGGACGCCCTGGTTCGCGGGGAAGTTGAGGTTGGCCCACGCAAAGAGCGAGTAGGACACAAAGTCGTTTAGAAGCACAATGTCAACGAGCTGGCGGAAGATGAGCCACGAGTTGAACTCTTGCGGGACATTGTCCCACTTGTAACCCTCGCCCATCTTCATCTCGAGCTCGCGCTTCCACCAGCGGGCCCACTCGCGGCCTTCCTCGCCGCCCGACTCGGACTTTGTGTCGAGCCAGCCCCACTGGCGCAGGGTGCGGATAATGTAGCGGTTCTCAGACTGTTGACGGAGGAGCCACGCAAAGCCAAAGTCGTAGGCACCGCGCCAGAAGGCAAAGTAGATGAGGAAGAAGGCGGAGCGAAGCGTCGGGTAGCCGGAGAGCAGGAAGAAAAGGATGGGCTGGGACACGAGCGAGAAGACGGTCCAGCGGGTGAGGGACGAGCGGGTGAATGTCTTGGTCATGGTGTGCACAAACGAGTGAGTCTGGGGGACGCGGAAGACTGAGTGAGCAAACCGGTCACACGACCAAGGAAGGCCAAGTGTCAGCACACGTTTGAACTTTGTGTATGAGTTGTGAAACACCTACCTTCTCCGCTGGGGGTCTTGCCCCAGTTGACCTCGACCTTGTCATCGGAGTCCTTGTCCTTGTCCTCGCTCTCGTCGTCTGCGGGGTACTCGTCGACCGAGCTGGGAGCGGTCGTGTGCAGCTTCTGAGTGGTGGTGGTGCGACGGCGGAGTTGGGCGGTAGCGTCAGATGCCGGGTGGAGGTTGACATTTGCCTCTGATGGATGTGAGCCAGCAGAGGAAGGCTGCGTGCTCTGAGGAAGAGCGGCAGCTGTGGGTGCCATGGTGGGTTGAGCCTTTTGGCGGGAGGGGTTGGAGTCAGTCAGTCGACGGTGATGATCAAGAAGGACGAGAAAGAGTGCGAAAGGGAAAGTGCCAGTGCCAGCAGTAAGTGGTGCGGCGTGGATGCTCACTACTGACTGGATGGTCGGGTATCCAATTGAACTTTCGGCGGGGTGGACCGTGCGTAGCGTGTACCCCATCTCAGGCACGTACCTGGAGAACCAGTGATGCAGTGACACTACTTACTCGCCCCACCCTGGCCACTTCCACCGGCACCATCCTCCGGCCTCCGAGAACACACTCACTCTCTAGCTCTCTAGCTCTCTTCTGATAAGCGGCCCCGCGTAAGTACCCCGTCACAACCCTCCACGCATTCACCATATCAATGACGTGTTCCTCTCTTTGCTCCGTGCCGCGGTTCTTGCGTTCCTTGTCGCCCTGTTTCGATCACGTACAAGATACACACCGCTGATTAGCTCACACACTCAAAATTCCCTTATCCCTTGGCGCACAGGAAAAAGTCACCCTCGGCTTTTTCATCCTCACTACTTATCATTCTTCATACATCCCTCACAACAACTTTGTACAACAACCACTACAATCTTCTACAGATCTATACACACATAGTATGCAATTTGACTACTCTCCCCGCTGCCCATCTGCGAGCAGGAGCTTGCGCGTCTCCTCATCCCCGATTACAACACCGTGCACAGCCCCCAAGTGCCGGCGCACATCGTACACTCGGAAGAATCGCTCAGAGCATGCTTCTTCCCCTTCCTCCTCCTCCTCCTCCATGTTCTCGTCCCTCTCCATCTCCTTCTCCCCCAGGCCATGAAGTTCAACATGCGTGAGATATGGGCAGACCCAGGGACGGTACTGCTGTCCACCCGGCGCAGTAGCGATGCCGAGCAGCTCGGCCGCAATGTCCCCGTGACTCTCGTCCTCGGTGCACTCGGCCTCGCTCTCGCGATTCGGGTCACACCACCCATCAGCCTGGTGTCGCTTCAGACTCGCTGGACGCCTGTACGTGCGCCCGCACACATCGCATCGGTGCTTGCCCTTCGCATGGGCGGCCTGGGCGTGCTCGTCTCGGGCATACTGCGTCTTGTAAGTCTTGCCGCAACCGGGAGTGCCGCAGGCATAGATCTTGCCCGCCGAGCCGCCCTCGATGCGCGCCAGTTTCTTCGGAGCCTCGGGCGACAGGGGTTGGTCGCCGGCATCGTCGACGTCCGAGCGACGGCGTTTCCGGCGAGACGGCCGCTTCTTCTGCAAGACCGGTGCAATCTCCTCGTCCGATCCCACAGCGGCCAGGTCTTCCTCCCGCTCGGCGTGCACTTTGAGGTGGTCTCGGAGACGGGCAGGAGTCTTGAACGTCCGCCCGTGGCACTCGTCATACGGGCACACGGCAGGATGAGCCTCGCGTGTGTGCGCTTGCAGTTCGGTCCAGGTTGCGAACAGGACTGCCGTCTCGTGGTCGGCGTGGCCGCACATATAGCGCGTAGCTGTAGGTTAGTTATTAGGCGCAAGGTGAAGCAACTCACGATCATGCGTTTTAGTGTGAGTCTTTAGCTGCTGCTTCATGGCGAAACTCTTTCCACAGCCCTCGTGCTTGCACAACCAGGGCTTGGTGCCGGCCGGCATGTGGGCATCAGCGACGTGATCGCGGAGCTGGTTCGCCTTGGCGAACACGGCCTCGCAGTGCTCGCACGCATGCTCCTCGGCCCGGTCGTGGCTCTCCTCATGGCGTTTACAGTGCGACGCCGTCCAGAAATGCTTCCCGCAGCCTTGTCGGGGGCACACGAAGGGCTTCTCTTCCGGCTTCTTGTGTGTGCGCATGTGTGCGACGAGATGGCTGCGGCGGTAGTACGTCTTGCCGCAGCCTTCCTCCTCGCACTTGTGAGAACGCTCGCCGGTGTGCGTCTGCTTGTGTTCGTTCAGGCGACTTTGCTTGAAGTACGCCTTGGTGCAGCCGGGGAAGTCGCACGGGAATCGGCGCTCGACACGGCATCGCGGCTTGCCGTCGATCGTCACCCGCTTCGGAGAAGCGGTGTTGACCGGTCTTGACGCCTGTGCAGGTGGAAGGTTGAGGAAGTCATCGGGGGTCGGAAGCTGGACGGAGATCGGGAGCGGAGTGGCCTCGTTGGAATCGTTCAGGTCGAGGCCGAGAGCAGATCGGCGCCGAGGAAGGGGTGTCCGCGCCTCGATATTGTTTACAGACGGGCTTGTCGTCTCACTTGATCGCGTGATCTCAACGATGGGCTGGAGACCGGGCGACGGAGCCCGAGTGACGGGCATAGACACAGAGGATAGACCATCCTGAGGAAGGGGAGCGCTATGTCGTACCGGGGTCGATCGAGCACGCAGAGGTTGCGGTCGGCGCGCAAGTGGAGGTGTTTCTGGTGGGGTCGGGAGACCAGCCATCCGCGCTGCCGACTGCAGTCGGCACGCACGCATCGGCCGAGTCGACAATGGTGGTTCTATTGTTGTCATGGCGTTCTGCCAGAAGCTGGCGCTTCAGAGTTGGGTATCGAACGTCGAGATATGGTTAGATAACGTTGGAGTGAATGTCTGAAGGAAGGTCCTGCGGCGTGATCGCATCGGAAATGAGCGACCACTTCAGCAACTTTTGTCGGTGTCAAATTTCGCCGTGCCACGTCATTCTTCGATCACCTTGATGCACGAGCCTTCTCTGTACACACTGCAACACAAATAGCATGCATGTACGATCGAGCCTCCAACACTCTTCCTACGACAACTGAGACTGCATCATGCACATTGTTTGCGAGTTGATCTGCTCGGAGAGGAGGGTTTGAGTGGCTGAGGATGCTGATAGGGTCGCAAAAGTCTTATCAACCTGAACGTGGAGGGTTCCCACGTGGCCTGGCTGCACCATCAACTTCTGATCTGCTTCCGCTCAGCCCCGTGCCAGACGTAAACATCGGATGGAGGCGACTGATTTGTCTTTCAAGCCGTCAACAACATCAACTTACCCGTACAGCACAACCACACCATGTCGGCCGTCCCAGCCGCGACGCCGAGTAGGGCGTCTCCGGAACAGCCTGCACCTGTGACCGACTTTACTCTCATCGAGTCGCAGAAAGAGAACATCCGACCATTGGCCACTGGACGATCGGCTGCTACGCTCGGGGTCCTTTTCGACAAGAGCCGAGAGGAGGAGGCGTCGCGCGCCGTCGCGGAGGGAACAGAGCAGTTTATGAAGGACATTGAGGAGGCTGAGAGGCGAGAGCGGGAGGGAGAGGACATGGTTGACGGCGTCCAGGACGTGCTCGACCTGTACAATCGGTGAGCTAGCTCTGACGTATTCTCAGCTGACATCAGCTACGTCTCATTCACTGTCCAGCACTACCCTTCATCACCATCGCATGTTTTGCCGCTACTGGAATCAACGACCCGCCGCTTCATCGATGACGTCCGGTACTCCCAGGACGCCCGATACCTGAAGCTCTGGGTGATGTACGCTCGCCATGTTGAGCGACGGGAGGAAATTTGGGCGTTTCTCGAATCGCGGGACATTGGCACACGGCACGCGGCATTCTATGAGGAATGGGCGATGGCCGCCGAAGGCCTCGGAAGGTAAGCTCCCAGCCCGGCGTTTAAGCTGACCAGCAGGAAGAAGAAGGCAGACGACGTCTACCGGCTCGGTATCGCTCGCAAAGCCGCACCGCTAGAGCGCTTGAAGGGACGGCATCAAGCATTCCTCACTCGCATCATGGCGCCACCGTCAGGAGTCATTCCGGACGACGATCCTCTGCCTCCGCCTCGACCAAGCTCGTCTCGCAGTGTACTCGGCCAGGTCGGAGGTGGCGGTGGCCTTGCCTCCGTCTCCGGTGCAACACCTGTGCAACCCTCTTCGCAGCGCATCTCTCGCGGCACAAACGGGTCAAAGCTCGAGATCTTCTCCGACGCGTCTGGAGCAGCTGCCGACCCTGAAGCCTCTCAGTGGGAGGATTTTGGCACCCGTGACGGCCGCCGAAAGGAGAACCACATGGAGGCGACACCATGGAAAGGCGAGACTCTCCCTCAGAGCGCAGCCCGCCATAGGGTGGCGCCTCGTACTCCGAAGCTAGAGGTTTTCAAGGACACGTCCGACAACGGTGCCGTACGACACGCCGACGACGCTCAGGCCGGTCTCGTTATCCGGGCCAAGGCTCCGTTGTCTGAGGCCGAGCAGCTCCGCGACGACCCCCTCAAGAACTATGACATCAGCAATGTCTCCAAGTCCGTTCCTACTCTGCCCCCTCCTCCACCGTCCGCGCGCAAACCGACGCACAAGAAGAAGCGTGAGCCGGCACACGTCATGGAGCCATGGGTTTGCCCCACTGGTGGCCCGGAGCGCCCGACAGCCAAGGGCAAGATGGAGCGAGTCATGTTCGACTGGGACGCTACGTTTAAGGGTGGCGAAGAGTGGAGCTTCCAGGAGGTGCGCGCCAAGAAGCTCGGTCTCTTCGGAAAGGAGTGGAAGCCTCTGAAAGACTGGGAGAAGGGATGGCACAAGCCTGGTGCAACAACACCTGTGAAGGAGGAACCCAAGAAAGCGGGACCGCCTTCGCCTACGATCAACACCAAGCTCGCCAACGCGGAAGTCATGAACCTCTTCAACCAGACGCTCCACGGCGGCAAGGTCCGTGACCCCGACTTTGACACGGACAGCGATGATGACGACGACGAGGAGGCCGACGACGTCGCCCCTCTACCGACACCTCTGCCGCCGCGCCAACCCGAGCGCCAAATGTTGAGCATGATGACGCCCGGCGGCATGATTCCTCCCACACCGACGCCTGCGCAGGGTGCTAACGCGCGCCGCCAATCGCCGCAGATGAACGTCTTTGCCGACGAAAGCGCCACCCCGGCCCCGTCACGCATGGCCGTGTTCGCCGACGAGAACGCGACCCCCGCACCGCGACCTCAGGTGTTCGCCGACGAGAACGACCCGTCAGCACGCAAAGTTAACGTCTTTGCAGACTCGACACCCAAACCCAAGCCGCTCAGCGGACGCACTCCGCTTGCTCCTAGCGCGAGCAAGCCGCGCGCCTTTGGTCTCCTCGAGGAGCCCGCGACGCCCTCGGCCAACATCTTTGCTGCGACCCCGGCTCCTGTCAAGGTCGCATCGCCGATCCAAGAGGAGGACGAGAATACTGCTCAGGACGAGAACGACGTCCCGAGTCGCAAGGCATCGCCTGTCGCTCAGACCAACGTCTTCGACGAGAACGCTGCACCCCGCCGCAAATCATCCCCTCTCTCGCAGAGCGTGAACGTTTTCAACGAGGTGGCCCCCCCTAGCCGCAAGTCATCCCCCCTCTCGCAGAGCGTCAATGTGTTTGATGAGAATGCTGGGCCGAGCCGCAAGGCGTCACCCCTCTCGCAGAACGTCAACGTACTTGACAAGAATGCCGTCCCCAGCCGCCACGCGTCGCCGCTGGCCCAGAGCAGCGGCCCTGTCTCCGATGACAACGCCGGTCCCAGCCGCCGTGCCTCCCCTCCGGCTCAGAGTGTCGGTCCCGCCTCCGATGAGCACGCTGTGCCCAGCCGCAAGGCTTCTCCCGTCGCCCAACAGAGCGAGAAGGTCTTTGATGAGAACGCCCCGATCCGCCGCAACCCCTTCGATCCCTCTCCTGAACCTGCACCTGTTGAACCCGAGAACCAGGGGCCGTACGAGGAGTACGAGGACTACTACACCGACGAGGAACCGGGGTATGGCCGGCCCATGAAGAACTTTGCGTACAAGAGCATCATGACGCCCGTGACGGAGCGCACGGAGAACACGATCTTCTTAAACCAGACCATGCGCTCAGAGGTGCTTTCCGAGGCCGAGGGGGAGGAAGAGGAGCGTTTGCGGTCACCGCACCTGACTGCCGTGACCGAGGCTGATGAACCGCCATCTCGCTCCGTCCGCCGCGAGTCCGGTCACTCATCGCACGACTCGGTTGGTAACTGCTCCGGTTCGGTCGACACTGGCGCCTTCCAGATTCCCGACGGGTACACGATCCACCCCACCGCAGCCAACACGACGTTAGGCCAGGTGCACGACGAGACGGGCTCGTACGCTGTTGACGAGCCCTCTGCGGCTTCCAGTTCTGAAATCCTCTCGCAAATCCCCAACCCGTGCTGCCCAACCGATGAGGCTGTGGTCGCCACGCTGCTGTCGCGCATGGACCCGCCCTTCGTCCCCGCTGCGGACAACCGCACCTCCAAGTCGAGCCGGTTAGCCAAGCTCCAGGCCGCGGCTAAGGCCCGCAGCCATGTCGCGCACCTCGCTTGCGCCGCAGGATGACGCATACCACCTCTCACTCGGAAAGGAGTACGAGATGCGCGAGAAACTGGGGGAGGGCGGTTTCGGCGCCGTGTTCGCTGCCGTCGACGTTGCGGCCCGCGCGGCGATGCTTGACCGGGACGAGGACGAGAGCGACGACGAGGTTGATGAGACGAGCACGCTCGTTGCCATCAAGGTTGAGGCCCCGGGTTCGCTCTGGGAGGCGGCGATGCTGCAGCGCGTGCACTCGCGTCTTGCCGCCGAGCTTATCCCCAGCATCATCCGTCCCCGCGGACTGCATGCGTACTCTGATGAGTCCTACCTCCTTCTCGACTTCAGTGCGCAGGGCACGCTCCTCGATGTGGTGAACAAGGCCACCGTGTGGGGCATCAGCGCGATCCCCAACGGCCCTTCCGTTCCCGACGAAATCGTCGCGCTCTTCTTCACAGCCGAGCTCCTCCGCCTCGTGGAGGGCCTGCACTCGCAGTCCATGATCCACGGCGACCTCAAGATCGACAACTGCATGGTGCGTCTGGACGCCATCCCTGCCTCCGATGGCGGCGCAAGCAGCTGGTCCACGCAATACTCTCGTGACGGAAGGGGAGGGTGGAAGCACAAGGGCGTGCGCCTCATCGACTTCGGCCGTGCGCAGGACCTCACACTCTATGACGCAGGCAAGGAGCAGCGCTTCACGGCCGATTGGAAGACGGACGAGCGCGACTGTCCCGCCATGCGCCAGGGCAGGGCCTGGTCCTACGACACGGACTACTTTGGCCTCGCGGGCGTGTGCTACTGTCTCCTCTTTGGCAAGTTTATCGCGACCGAGACGGACGAGCGGGGCCGCGTGCGCGTCGACCAGGCGTTCAAGCGGTACTGGCAGGTGCAGCTCTGGACGCGGGTGTTCGACACTCTCCTGAACCCCTACGATGGCGCTGGGGCAGAGGGAGAGGGAGAGCGCGGCCCCATCCTTGGCAAGCTGAGGGAACTCCGAGAGGCGCTCGAGGAGTGGCTCGAGGCCAACTGTCAGAAGAACGGGAAGAGTCTGAAGCAGCTGCTCAAGCGTATCGAGCTGAGGGCTATGGAGCGTCGGTAGAGGAGAAGGAAGAATAGATAGAGTGCCAATGCTTAGTGTCGATTTGTAACCAATGTATCCATGCAACCTTGCCTGTCTTCTCCAGGCGCGAACCCCTACTGACATCGATTGACTACAACACAGCGCCGCCCCCACCCTCCGACTCAACGCTCAAAAGATAGAGAGTATGCATAAATGACCCAAAAGCACAAATCTGGAAAGACCAAAGAGACTATCGATACAACTGAACCTCTTACCCGTGTGTCCCGTACATCCCTCGCCACGACCGAGGCGCTCGAGTTCGACCAGAACAAACTGAGCCGTTGCGCTCGGACGCTTTCGCATCCTCGCGCGGCTACAGCTGCTGCTCCATCTCCTCGTACAGCTTCTCCGCAATCTCGAGCGCCCGCTGCCGTCTACTTCGCCCGTCGGCTGGCGTTCTCGGTCCCTCGGCGCTAGTCCGTGATTGCCGGCTGGCGCCGTATCCCGATGCCCATTCTTGCGCCGCTGACGAACGATACGACGCAAACGCCGGAGACCCGTGGCCCTGGTTCGGGCTTCTGGCCCCGGAACCCTCGATGGACTCGGCCGGCGCCGAGACGCGAGACGCCCGCCTCCCGCGCGCCATGTATGCTAATGTTGTGACAAGGTTGGGCGTTGAAGCGCCGCTGTGCTCACTGATCCTGTCGAGCTCCTTTGCGCGTTCGGCGGGGCGGCACGTTCGGCCGCCTCACGCTCCTCCTGTTCCCGCCGTTCGCGCTCCTCCTCGGCGGCGGCAGCCAGGGCCTCGGGGGCCACGACGTCGGTGAGGTCGGCGAACTCGGCGGGAAGGAAGGCGGCGTCGACGCCTGCGAACTCCATCTCGCCTGGCGATTCTGTGGGCGGAGACGACTTGGGGAGCGATGGCGGGGCGGGTTGAGAAGGTGTGATTGGGGGTATCTCGACGTCGCGGCTGCCGCGGCGCCAGAAGGTGACGACGGAGGAACGGCGGGACTGCCGACGGGCGGCACGAGCGGCGTCTCGGACCGCCTTGGCTTCGGCGCGGCGCTGCTCCTCGATGACGTGAGGCGGCTCAGACGCGAAGAGGGCCTGCAGCATGTCCATGCTACCGCCAGACTCTTGCCGCTGTAAACTGTTTTGAGGGGCTGCGACGCCATCGCCCCCGAAGCTATCGAGGACGGTCGCGACAGGCGCATTGTCGAGTGTGTTGACGGGACCCGGGGCGGCGCACTCAGATCCCCAAGGTTCCTTCGCCTCTGGCGTGTGGCTCTCGTGCTTGGTCGGAAACTTCGCCTGCCACGCAGCGTACACGCCCTTCGAGAGACACGGGTCGACGAACAGCGCGAGACAACAGAAGACCATTCCTCGTCCGCCGTAGAACCAGTAGTACACGCAGTACAGCGCGTAGCCTGGCGTGGTCGTCACGCCGTTAACGGTGATGAAGAGGTCGCCAGCAGCAATCAACGTGTTGACGACGATCATCGCCAGCGGGTACAGCGACACGCGTAAAGCGATACGGATGAACCGGTCTTCCAGATGTCCAAACGCCCGCTCGTGGTCTGAACGCCGACGCTTGCTGATCAACCGCACTAACGAGAAATGGTGCCGAGTCGTCTTGGTCTCCTCTTCCGAATGCGGGTCTGAAAGGCTCAGGTGGTTGATACTGTCACCGCCGAACATCGCTCGAGAAGTCGCGCGTCCCTGCAGGAAAAGCTTGGTGAGAGTCTGGGGTCAGCTAAGGAAGAAGTCCATGCAAGCTTACCGCTCCGACACAAACTGTCGCCACAACACACGACAGCAGCTGCCACAGGTAAATGTCCAAGACCAGCCTGTCGACGCGCTCCTGCGAGTTCTTAGCCGTCATCCAACTGAAAGTCAGCTTGGTTCCGACGGCGGAGAGCTTACCAGACATCAATCAGCGGGTCCCAACCAAAGTGGCCAAGTGCCGCGGGGATGATGGGAATGAAGAAACCGATCGCCGTCGACAAGCCGATGTACCATCGCTCGAGCTCTGTGGATCTTGTCAGCTGAGGCTTTGGGGCGAGTGACACAATCGCACGCACTGAGGATGATCGGGTTGATCTGAAACACGACAGTGAGCATGAGGTTGATCGCGATACATGTCCAGATGAAGTTGACGCTGATGTCAGCCATTTCGATGCTGTTACTGCACACTCACGTTCCAAGCGTCGCGATCATGAAGTACACTCCCACCGAACAGCCGGGCAAGCTCACTCCTCCTGCAAGCACGACCTGGGCGTCAGCTGTTGTTGCTTCCTGCCGATTGTGCATGCCGCAGCCGCCAATGGCGCTGCTTCGCCCTACGCCCCGGCATCGGGACTCGTGGCCTGGGCCCCCGAGTGCGACACGCCGACCCCCGCGCCATCGATCGCAGGATTCCTGAACCGCAATCAAGCCTGAGATCGCGAGCTATGGGCGTGTGCTTCGCCAGCGAGCGAACCGGCGGGCGGTGGCATGTGAAAAAAGTTGCAAGGCCAGCACTCACGCAAATGTACGACACGTCGTAGACCGTCTCCCAGACCATGCTGTAGAGTAACAGCCGGAACGAGAGGCGCTGCAGGTAGCCACGCGCCTGGGGCACGCTCCACACCCAGAGCGACACCAGGAGGACCACGAGGACGAACCCGATCGAGATCCCGGCCGCAATGGCCGAGATGTGAACATTGAGCTGCATGTTAGTCTTACTGGGCGGGGTTTCGATGTGTGTGACAAGAACTCGAACAGCAAGCAACAGCCGATCAGGGCTAGATGAATGTGGGCGTGTGTGAAGTTCTCCAACATGACTGCGGGTCAAAGGCGCGGACGGACAGGTCCTTGAAAGGGATGGCGAGCTGAAGCGGTGATCGCGCGCGGACTCACCTCGATGCGGTCATCTGTGAGGTTGAACATGGCCCGGAGGCCAGCTCGTTGTGAGCAGAGACGGGGGCGGCGAGCAGAGTATGTTGCGGGTGGAGGTGAGTGGTGCTAGGTTTGTGTGTGTGTGTCGAGTGGCGATCGATGAGAGGGAAGGAATAGCCGAGATGAGGGGACGTTGCAGAGTTTAAATGTCGAGGAAGGAGGGGCACGGGTGGTGGATGGGGGGAGTCTGGGTGGGGCGGGCGGTCGCAAAGGAGGGTCGGTCGGTATCGATGGGACTCTGTGTCGCCTGATGGTCGAGGAGGAGATGAGGAACAAGAGTTGGAGGAAGGCAAAGAAAAAAGAGGAGTAGAGACTTCAAAGCCAAGAGATTGCGTCGAGGTGTATGGGAGGGTGTTGTGAGTGAAGGGAATGGCAGCCGCGGCAGAGACACACACCACTGCGTACAAGCAGAGAGAGACCCAAGACAAGGAGGCGTCCTTCCGCCCGGATTCAGAATTCAGCCTCCCTTGTATCTTTAACACAGTCCTAATCCACTGGCGACCATCCCCCCAATTCACTCATTAGCCTCGTTCCTTAGCCCTGCCCCTTGCGGACGTGCAGTGCTGTCTGCTTTCCGCTGCCGCTGCATGTATGTATGCTCCGCAATCCCAATCTCTCATGCTCCACAACAACAGTCGTGGGATCGTGGAGCAGAGCGCCATCCGCCGCCCTCCACTCGAGATCTCACCGGACCCGTGACATCCACCCATCGACCGACTGCTGGTCTTGCTCTGCGCAAAGGCTTGGCGCGCGCCTCCTCCGTCTCCATTCAGCCGTAACCATGCGGCAGCTGATCAACTACCGACTACTCTGTATGCAGTCGACAGATGACCGACCCACTCCATTCTCCGATCTCCCTCAATTAGCACTAGCTGAAGATTTTGATGCGAATGAAGCTGGCACCGAGCTGGAATCAGGTATTCATTTGCTGCTTGCTTGCCTCCGATGTCTTCAATGCGCACCGAGCACAGGGAGAGTGAAGGACTGATAATGACTGGCCCCTTGAGAGCGAGCCCTGCGATCGAGCAGACACAGGGACCAGAGGGTAACGAGGGTAAGGACGAGTCCGACAACCCCGAAAACAGGGTGCAGTCGAGGGTCCCGTGCCCTGTATTCCCATCGCGTGGTCTGACGTAACCACTCTGTCCCAAATTTCGGCCCTTTTCTAATCAACACTATATTCCTGCAATCGGCCAGCATTTCGATCGAGCAGTGGCATGAAGTGCGACGACGAGCATCTAAACTCTACTGCTGCCTATCGGGCTGCGTACACCTACTCAAAACCTGTGTATCTCATGAATGCCGAATGAGGCTCAATGTGCACAGAATGAAAAGGTTCTGTTTCTAGAAGTCCAAGAAGTCCGCTGCCCCGGTCACCTCGGAGACTGAACGGAGCAGCGGCGATCCTCGACGGAGGTTGCCGACAGGGACTGGCGCATGTCAGACTGACTCGCTATCCTCCGATTTACGGCCTGCTTACGATACCTCGGCGGACCGTGCCCGCCTGTCGTGTGACGGCGGTCAGAGCACGTCGCATCGGCCTCCCCGTGAATGACAATGCCGGTTGTGCGTAGCGAGGGCACTTTCGGGTTGCGGCGATTCTCGTGCTAAAGTGAGAGTTTCGCAATCATCGAAACTCTGACCTCGCCAGGGAGCCTGCAGCTGGAAGGAGAGAGATCGCTGCCCAACTATCACACTCCGCTTCGTGGATGGAGGGCAGTACGTAGCTCTCATTGAATGGCTGCACGAGCACATGCGCATCATGGAGATTCTTGATTTTGGAGCTCTTGATTTCGGAGCCCAGTCCGCGATCGCTTCAGCTCCGGCACGAGGCGCCCCGCTCGCGAGTAGCCGCGAGACGCCACGCCGATTAACCCTTGCCACACACATCCGCAGCGTTATCACGTAGTATCAGCATTACCTATGCCTTATCAGTTCGATTGACAAGATTGTCTCATCAGTAGCAAGCCTCGATTGACTGGGGAACTCGCATGGCGGCATGTACGGGTGATAGCATGGCACAGGTATCTGCGTCTCTCGTTGTGTCAGCCGAAAGTAGATGCACGAGCGCAGCCCCACCTGTCCTCGAGCGAGCGCTCAGAGCGCAGAAGTACAGAAATAGCACATCGCGGACTGACTCATCGCACAGCTCGCCCAGCGCGCGTGCTCGTGCGGAGCATTCTGAGGCCCTCGGAGGCTAGAGGCTCCTGCAATGAACAGCAGCCCAAGGCCTGGCCGCCGCTTGAGAATATTCGGCACGTCTCCCGTGTTGCTCTGGCATCCAGATGCGTGACAGACCTCTCCCACGTCCCCTTCGGCGCCCAACCCGCTGTAAAGCAGCAATGCTGCCGTTGCCCAGAGGCATTGGCCAAAGGGACCGCGTGCCCGCCTCCTAATCCTGTGCTTGGGCGCAAGCGTACAGGGGAAAGCGGGGGTTAACCGTCTACCGCTTGCGTTTATCTCATCTCCCTCCGTCTCCACGCTCCACTCTTCGCATACCGGACAGCACGGTGAAGCTCACAGTGGCCTGCCCGCCAATCGTGGCAAGACACACCCGCAAGTTCCGACGCTACGCCACCCGACAGGTAATCAGTCGGTCCACTGTATTTTTGTACGAAGTGACGGGCTCCGGAGGAGATGTGATTCCTACCAAGCAGTCCAAGTCCCTACCGAGCCCTCAAATTCCTCTACCATCCTGGTTGCCCAAAGCGAGTGGATCGTCGAAGGCGGACCCGAGGCAAGTGGTGCTAGGTTGGATCGTCCTAACACGTGAGGGTGCAGGCAAGCGATACAGGTGGTGGCAGTAGATAAGATAAGATGGGGCGTGCTCAGACAAGGCAGCAAGCGTCAAGACATCAGCTTGAGGTGAGCTGGGCCAGGGCTGCCTGTGGTGGACTAGCGATGGGCTACCCACCCCAGTCAGCTACAGTCGATCATCACTCCAGGTCAACATTTTCAAGCCATCACTGCCTCAGTGCTGTAACCACGTAGGTGATGCTGTTAACAGGATATCTTCTCCATATATCAATTGAGCTTTGCACAGTTGCAAAGGAGGTGTAGCTGTGCTCTGGCTCTGGCAGCAAGCATCATGCACCATACCGGCAGCTGACCAACTCCATCTGTATCCACCCATGCAAACGGCTACATCTGCACCCATGCCTATGTGAACACCAGTGTGCGTGCCAATGCTAGCGCTACTGTCAACGTCTACATCCACATTCCACAACTCCACCAGGCACACATTCCTCAACCAGTGTTGCCGCTATCGTTATCACTATCATACACGTTGCCATGCACGCTAGCGGACACATACACCTGTGCTATGGCGACCAGGTCGTGCTATGGTGACCAGGTGGTCTTATGGCGACCAGGTCATCTTATGGTAAGCAAGTGGTGTTATGGAGACCTGGTCGTCGTATGGCGACCTAGTCGTGCTATGGCGACCAGGTCGTGCTATGGCGACCAGGTCATGCTATGGCGACCAGGTCGTGCTATGGCGACCAGGTCGTGATATGGCGACCAGGTCATGCTATAGCGACCAGGTCATGCTATGACGTGTTGGTCTTGTTATGGTGAGCAAGTCGTCTTATTCCCACTGAGAGTCCTGGTAAACCTACCCAGCTGAAACAAATGGATTCATGGTCAGAGAATGGCTCAAATAGAACCAGTGTGTTGCATGCAAGCCCAGCTGCAACTGAGGGATGGAATCAGCCCAGTGGGAATCACCACTGAAATTCCCACTGAGATTCCCAGGGTCAAGGGCACGACTTGGGTCGAGGGGACGACCTGGGTCGAGGGGACGACCTGGGTCGAGGGGACGACCTGGGTCGAGGGGACGACCTGGGTCGAGGGGACGACCTGGGTCGAGGGGACGACCTGTGTTGAGGGCACAACCTGGGTCGAGGGGACGACCTGGGTCGAGGGGACGACCTGGGTCGAGGGGACGACCTGGGTCGAGGGGACGACCTGGGTCGAGGGGACGACCTGGGTCGAGGGGACGACCTGGGTCGAGGGGACGACCTGGGTCGAGGGGACGACCTGGGTCGAGGGGACGACCTGGGTCGAGGGGACGACCTGGGTCGAGGGGACGACCTGGGTCGAGGGGACGACCTGGGTCGAGGGGACGACCTGGGTCGAGGGGACGACCTGGGTCGAGGGGACGACCTGGGTCGAGGGGACGACCTGGGTCGAGGGGACGACCTGGGTCGAGGGGACGACCTGGGTCGAGGGGACGACCTGGGTCGAGGGGACGACCTGGGTCGAGGGGACGACCTGGGTCGAGGGGACGACCTGGGTCGAGGGGACGACCTGGGTCGAGGGGACGACCTGGGTCGAGGGGACGACCTGGGTCGAGGGGACGACCTGGGTCGAGGGGACGACCTGGGTCGAGGGGACGACCTGGGTCGAGGGGACGACCTGGGTCGAGGGGACGACCTGGGTCGAGGGGACGACCTGGGTCGAGGGGACGACCTGGGTCGAGGGGACGACCTGGGTCGAGGGGACGACCTGGGTCGAGGGGACGACCTGGGTCGAGGGGACGACCTGGGTCGAGGGGACGACCTGGGTCGAGGGGACGACCTGGGTCGAGGGGACGACCTGGGTCGAGGGGACGACCTGGGTCGAGGGGACGACCTGGGTCGAGGGGACGACCTGGGTCGAGGGGACGACCTGGGTCGAGGGGACGACCTGGGTCGAGGGGACGACCTGGGTCGAGGGGACGACCTGGGTCGAGGGGACGACCTGGGTCGAGGGGACGACCTGGGTCGAGGGGACGACCTGGGTCGAGGGGACGACCTGGGTCGAGGGGACGACCTGGGTCGAGGGGACGACCTGGGTCGAGGGGACGACCTGGGTCGAGGGGACGACCTGGGTCGAGGGGACGACCTGGGTCGAGGGGACGACCTGGGTCGAGGGGACGACCTGGGTCGAGGGGACGACCTGGGTCGAGGGGACGACCTGGGTCGAGGGGACGACCTGGGTCGAGGGGACGACCTGGGTCGAGGGGACGACCTGGGTCGAGGGGACGACCTGGGTCGAGGGGACGACCTGGGTCGAGGGGACGACCTGGGTCGAGGGGACGACCTGGGTCGAGGGGACGACCTGGGTCGAGGGGACGACCTGGGTCGAGGGGACGACCTGGGTCGAGGGGACGACCTGGGTCGAGGGGACGACCTGGGTCGAGGGGACGACCTGGGTCGAGGGGACGACCTGGGTCGAGGGGACGACCTGGGTCGAGGGGACGACCTGGGTCGAGGGGACGACCTGGGTCGAGGGGACGACCTGGGTCGAGGGGACGACCTGGGTCGAGGGGACGACCTGGGTCGAGGGGACGACCTGGGTCGAGGGGACGACCTGGGTCGAGGGGACGACCTGGGTCGAGGGGACGACCTGGGTCGAGGGGACGACCTGGGTCGAGGGGACGACCTGGGTCGAGGGGACGACCTGGGTCGAGGGGACGACCTGGGTCGAGGGGACGACCTGGGTCGAGGGGACGACCTGGGTCGAGGGGACGACCTGGGTCGAGGGGACGACCTGGGTCGAGGGGACGACCTGGGTCGAGGGGACGACCTGGGTCGAGGGGACGACCTGGGTCGAGGGGACGACCTGGGTCGAGGGGACGACCTGGGTCGAGGGGACGACCTGGGTCGAGGGGACGACCTGGGTCGAGGGGACGACCTGGGTCGAGGGGACGACCTGGGTCGAGGGGACGACCTGGGTCGAGGGGACGACCTGGGTCGAGGGGACGACCTGGGTCGAGGGGACGACCTGGGTCGAGGGGACGACCTGGGTCGAGGGGACGACCTGGGTCGAGGGGACGACCTGGGTCGAGGGGACGACCTGGGTCGAGGGGACGACCTGGGTCGAGGGGACGACCTGGGTCGAGGGGACGACCTGGGTCGAGGGGACGACCTGGGTCGAGGGGACGACCTGGGTCGAGGGGACGACCTGGGTCGAGGGGACGACCTGGGTCGAGGGGACGACCTGGGTCGAGGGGACGACCTGGGTCGAGGGGACGACCTGGGTCGAGGGGACGACCTGGGTCGAGGGGACGACCTGGGTCGAGGGGACGACCTGGGTCGAGGGGACGACCTGGGTCGAGGGGACGACCTGGGTCGAGGGGACGACCTGGGTCGAGGGGACGACCTGGGTCGAGGGGACGACCTGGGTCGAGGGGACGACCTGGGTCGAGGGGACGACCTGGGTCGAGGGGACGACCTGGGTCGAGGGGACGACCTGGGTCGAGGGGACGACCTGGGTCGAGGGGACGACCTGGGTCGAGGGGACGACCTGGGTCGAGGGGACGACCTGGGTCGAGGGGACGACCTGGGTCGAGGGGACGACCTGGGTCGAGGGGACGACCTGGGTCGAGGGGACGACCTGGGTCGAGGGGACGACCTGGGTCGAGGGGACGACCTGGGTCGAGGGGACGACCTGGGTCGAGGGGACGACCTGGGTCGAGGGGACGACCTGGGTCGAGGGGACGACCTGGGTCGAGGGGACGACCTGGGTCGAGGGGACGACCTGGGTCGAGGGGACGACCTGGGTCGAGGGGACGACCTGGGTCGAGGGGACGACCTGGGTCGAGGGGACGACCTGGGTCGAGGGGACGACCTGGGTCGAGGGGACGACCTGGGTCGAGGGGACGACCTGGGTCGAGGGGACGACCTGGGTCGAGGGGACGACCTGGGTCGAGGGGACGACCTGGGTCGAGGGGACGACCTGGGTCGAGGGGACGACCTGGGTCGAGGGGACGACCTGGGTCGAGGGGACGACCTGGGTCGAGGGGACGACCTGGGTCGAGGGGACGACCTGGGTCGAGGGGACGACCTGGGTCGAGGGGACGACCTGGGTCGAGGGGACGACCTGGGTCGAGGGGACGACCTGGGTCGAGGGGACGACCTGGGTCGAGGGGACGACCTGGGTCGAGGGGACGACCTGGGTCGAGGGGACGACCTGGGTCGAGGGGACGACCTGGGTCGAGGGGACGACCTGGGTCGAGGGGACGACCTGGGTCGAGGGGACGACCTGGGTCGAGGGGACGACCTGGGTCGAGCGAAGGTTTCGTCCCATGGGACCTCGTGCGGGCTGCTAGTACACGCCTGAAGTTGTGTTGTTTGTCCTCCTCTGTCGGTTCATAGTCGGGGCGCCTAGACAGGGCATCGGGCTTGGTTGATTTCTTGCCCGACCTGTATTCGATCTTGTAATTGACTTCCGACAGGATTTCGTTCCAACGTGCTTGTCTTCTTGACAGCATCCGCTTCGTTTGGAAGTACGTGAGAGGTTGATGATCGGTAATGATTCGCACCGGTTCTTCCGTCCCCTCCACGTACCTTCGCCAGGCTTTTAGGGCACTGACGATCGCCAATAGCTCTTTATCATGTATTTCGTAGTTCATCTCGGCGGGATTTAGCTTCCTCGAGAAGAACGCAATAGGCTTCAGCTTGCCATCGAATAGTTGAGACAGGATGGCCCCGATAGCAAAGTCGGAGGCGTCCGTTTCGATGGTTATGGGTGCCCTCGGGTCGAAGTGGTGGATGATGTCTCCCTCCGCGAAAGCGTCCTTTATAGCGATGAAGGCGGCTTCCGCCCGGTCGCTCCATTCGTACTTCCTCGTTGTCTTCGTGAGGTCCGTGAGAGGACCCACCAGCTTCGAGTAGTTTTTAATGAAGTGACGATAGAAGTTGGCAAAGCCCAGGAATCCTCGTATTTCCTTGATATTTCGTGGCCTCGGCCATTCTATCACACTCTTAACCTTGGCGGGGTCCATCCGTATACCTTTGTTTGACACGAGGTAGCCTAGAAACTCGATTTCTTCAGCGTAGAAGTCGCATTTTTCGGCTTTGGCGTAGAGTTTGTTCTCCTTTAGCCTCGCCAGGACTTGTTTGACATGTTTCTCGTGCTCTTCCTTGGTATCACTAAAGATGAGAATGTCGTCGAGGTAGGCGATCACAAACTTGTCGAGCATATCGTGAAAGACGTGATTGATGAGGTGTTGAAAGGTGGAGGGAGCGTTGGTAAGGCCAAAAGGCATCACCAAGTACTCGAAGAGGCCGTATTTTGTCCTGAAGGCCGTTTTCCACTCGTCTCCCTCTGCTATGCGCACTTGATAGTACGCGTTCCTCAAATCGATGGTCGTGTAGTACTTCGCCGTACTGAGTCGATCCAACATCTCCAATATCAGAGGCAGGGGATTGCGGTTCTTAATCGTGACCTTGTTGAGGCCTCGATAGTCAACGCACAACCGAAGCGACCCATCCTTCTTTTTTACGAACAGGATCGGGGCCGCCGCAGGGGATTGCGACGGTCGTATGAACCCCTTCGCGAGGTTCTCGTCTATATTCTCCTTGAGCGCATCGAGTTCTAACTTGGATAGTCCGTAAATCGTTCCGAACGGTGGCATCTCGCCTTCGTAGAGCGGGATCTGGTGGTCGAAGGGCCTTCGTTCCGGTAGTCGATTCGCGGCCTCCTCGTCGAATACCTCGAGGAATTCATGAAACTCCCGCGGTATGTGTTGAGCGCCTTTGTTGTGTGTCGTAGACAGTCCCCGATTGTCCACGACATTCGGATTCTTCGGACTTCTCGCCTTGAACGCCTTCAAGACGTAACTGTCTCTCGGTCGTTGAGGGTCTACCGGTTCCCTGGTCAGGACTCCCATGTTACCGGTCCCCTCCGTTCGTAATATCCTTCGGAACTTCTTCGCCGAGATGAGGCGAACGCTCAGGTCGCCTCGTGGCGGAATGTTTATTGTTTTCTTATTCCAGTCGAACTCCACTTGGTGTTGGGCCATCCAGAGGTTCCCTAACACCATATCCTCAGATAGTCCTTGCACCAGCTCGAAACGGATCGTCCCTTGCCAGCCTTGTATTTTGACAGGGAGGTCCACGAAGTGGTTAACCTCTGAGATGGTCCCGTCGAATTGTTCGATTTTCATAGCTTTCTGATATTTACGGGCCTGGACGTTGTTTTCTCGGATTATCGATAGCGGCATATGGTTCATTGTCGATCCTGTGTCTATTAGACACTTTATTTTTGGGTTTTTCGGTAGTTGAGTAGAAACGGTCGCGTATATGGCGGAGTCATCGTCCACTGGGGTATCTTCCGGAGCTCGTGTATCGGTTTCGGGTTCGTTTTGCCCGTGATGTCCTCCCAGTGACGGGGCTTGGTAGGGCTGAGAGGTTTCTAGTTTCCCTCTGCCTCAGCCCAGGTCGTCCCCTTGACCCAGGTCGTGCCCTCGACCCAGGTTGTGCCCTCAACCCTGGTCGTGCCCTCAACCCCGGTCGTGCCCTCGACCCAGTTCGTGTTTCCACCCGGAGGTCATGTCCTTGCCCATGACCCAGATCCTAAGATCTGGTCAGGTCGTGCCCGCGACCCAGGTCGTGCCCGCAACCCAGCTCGTGCCCGCAACCCAGGTCGTGCCCGCAATCCAGGTCGTACCCGCGACCCAGGTCGTGCCCTTGACCCAGCAATTCTGGCGCACGATCCTGATATCAAGCTGATTGTGATGCAGACAGCAGCTAGTTTGGTTTCTGGGTGTGCAACTGGGGTTGTGAGTGACTCAATCTGGTGCCGAAACTGGTGCCGAATATTCTGGTGCCGAAACTGGTGCCGACAGTGACCCAGGTCGTGCCCTCGGCCCAGGTCGTCCCCTCAGCCCAGGTCGTCCCCTTGACCCAGGTCGTGCCCTCGACCCAGGTTGTGCCCTCAACCCTGGTCGTGCCCTCAACCCCGGTCGTGCCCTCGACCCAGTTCGTGTTTCCACCCGGAGGTCATGTCCTTGCCCATGACCCAGATCCTAAGATCTGGTCAGGTCGTGCCCGCGACCCAGGTCGTGCCCGCAACCCAGCTCGTGCCCGCAACCCAGGTCGTGCCCGCAATCCAGGTCGTACCCGCGACCCAGGTCGTGCCCTTGACCCAGCAATTCTGGCGCACGATCCTGATATCAAGCTGATTGTGATGCAGACAGCAGCTAGTTTGGTTTCTGGGTGTGCAACTGGGGTTGTGAGTGACTCAATCTGGTGCCGAAACTGGTGCCGAATATTCTGGTGCCGAAACTGGTGCCGACAGTGACCCAGGTCGTGCCCTCGGCCCAGGTCGTCCCCTCAGCCCAGGTCGTCCCCTTGACCCAGGTCGTGCCCTCGACCCAGGTTGTGCCCTCAACCCTGGTCGTGCCCTCAACCCCGGTCGTGCCCTCGACCCAGTTCGTGTTTCCACCCGGAGGTCATGTCCTTGCCCATGACCCAGATCCTAAGATCTGGTCAGGTCGTGCCCGCGACCCAGGTCGTGCCCGCAACCCAGCTCGTGCCCGCAACCCAGGTCGTGCCCGCAATCCAGGTCGTACCCGCGACCCAGGTCGTGCCCTTGACCCAGCAATTCTGGCGCACGATCCTGATATCAAGCTGATTGTGATGCAGACAGCAGCTAGTTTGGTTTCTGGGTGTGCAACTGGGGTTGTGAGTGACTCAATCTGGTGCCGAAACTGGTGCCGAATATTCTGGTGCCGAAACTGGTGCCGACAGTGACCCAGGTCGTGCCCTCGGCCCAGGTCGTCCCCTCAGCCCAGGTCGTCCCCTTGACCCAGGTCGTGCCCTCGACCCAGGTTGTGCCCTCAACCCTGGTCGTGCCCTCAACCCCGGTCGTGCCCTCGACCCAGTTCGTGTTTCCACCCGGAGGTCATGTCCTTGCCCATGACCCAGATCCTAAGATCTGGTCAGGTCGTGCCCGCGACCCAGGTCGTGCCCGCAACCCAGCTCGTGCCCGCAACCCAGGTCGTGCCCGCAATCCAGGTCGTACCCGCGACCCAGGTCGTGCCCTTGACCCAGCAATTCTGGCGCACGATCCTGATATCAAGCTGATTGTGATGCAGACAGCAGCTAGTTTGGTTTCTGGGTGTGCAACTGGGGTTGTGAGTGACTCAATCTGGTGCCGAAACTGGTGCCGAATATTCTGGTGCCGAAACTGGTGCCGACAGTGACCCAGGTCGTGCCCTCGGCCCAGGTCGTCCCCTCAGCCCAGGTCGTCCCCTTGACCCAGGTCGTGCCCTCGACCCAGGTTGTGCCCTCAACCCTGGTCGTGCCCTCAACCCCGGTCGTGCCCTCGACCCAGTTCGTGTTTCCACCCGGAGGTCATGTCCTTGCCCATGACCCAGATCCTAAGATCTGGTCAGGTCGTGCCCGCGACCCAGGTCGTGCCCGCAACCCAGCTCGTGCCCGCAACCCAGGTCGTGCCCGCAATCCAGGTCGTACCCGCGACCCAGGTCGTGCCCTTGACCCAGCAATTCTGGCGCACGATCCTGATATCAAGCTGATTGTGATGCAGACAGCAGCTAGTTTGGTTTCTGGGTGTGCAACTGGGGTTGTGAGTGACTCAATCTGGTGCCGAAACTGGTGCCGAATATTCTGGTGCCGAAACTGGTGCCGACAGTGACCCAGGTCGTGCCCTCGGCCCAGGTCGTCCCCTCAGCCCAGGTCGTCCCCTTGACCCAGGTCGTGCCCTCGACCCAGGTTGTGCCCTCAACCCTGGTCGTGCCCTCAACCCCGGTCGTGCCCTCGACCCAGTTCGTGTTTCCACCCGGAGGTCATGTCCTTGCCCATGACCCAGATCCTAAGATCTGGTCAGGTCGTGCCCGCGACCCAGGTCGTGCCCGCAACCCAGCTCGTGCCCGCAACCCAGGTCGTGCCCGCAATCCAGGTCGTACCCGCGACCCAGGTCGTGCCCTTGACCCAGCAATTCTGGCGCACGATCCTGATATCAAGCTGATTGTGATGCAGACAGCAGCTAGTTTGGTTTCTGGGTGTGCAACTGGGGTTGTGAGTGACTCAATCTGGTGCCGAAACTGGTGCCGAATATTCTGGTGCCGAAACTGGTGCCGACAGTGACCCAGGTCGTGCCCTCGGCCCAGGTCGTCCCCTCAGCCCAGGTCGTCCCCTTGACCCAGGTCGTGCCCTCGACCCAGGTTGTGCCCTCAACCCTGGTCGTGCCCTCAACCCCGGTCGTGCCCTCGACCCAGTTCGTGTTTCCACCCGGAGGTCATGTCCTTGCCCATGACCCAGATCCTAAGATCTGGTCAGGTCGTGCCCGCGACCCAGGTCGTGCCCGCAACCCAGCTCGTGCCCGCAACCCAGGTCGTGCCCGCAATCCAGGTCGTACCCGCGACCCAGGTCGTGCCCTTGACCCAGCAATTCTGGCGCACGATCCTGATATCAAGCTGATTGTGATGCAGACAGCAGCTAGTTTGGTTTCTGGGTGTGCAACTGGGGTTGTGAGTGACTCAATCTGGTGCCGAAACTGGTGCCGAATATTCTGGTGCCGAAACTGGTGCCGACAGTGACCCAGGTCGTGCCCTCGGCCCAGGTCGTCCCCTCAGCCCAGGTCGTCCCCTTGACCCAGGTCGTGCCCTCGACCCAGGTTGTGCCCTCAACCCTGGTCGTGCCCTCAACCCCGGTCGTGCCCTCGACCCAGTTCGTGTTTCCACCCGGAGGTCATGTCCTTGCCCATGACCCAGATCCTAAGATCTGGTCAGGTCGTGCCCGCGACCCAGGTCGTGCCCGCAACCCAGCTCGTGCCCGCAACCCAGGTCGTGCCCGCAATCCAGGTCGTACCCGCGACCCAGGTCGTGCCCTTGACCCAGCAATTCTGGCGCACGATCCTGATATCAAGCTGATTGTGATGCAGACAGCAGCTAGTTTGGTTTCTGGGTGTGCAACTGGTGATGTAAGTGACTTGATCTGGTTCCGAAACTGGTGCCGAAAATTCTGGTGCCGACACTGGTGCCGACAAATGTTCTTATCGGTGGCGAAACCTGTTCCAACTGCTTCCTGCATGCAATTCTGGGGCATGATCCTGATGTCACTCTGATTCTCATACAGAGAGCAGCTGCTTTGGTCTCTGGATGTGCAACTGGGGATGTGAAGGACTCGATCTGGCGAAGGCATGTTACCACCAAGATTCCTGTCAAGATTGCCACAGAGATTGCCTCCGAGACTGTCATTGACATTGCATCGACCATATGACCAGTCCCCGTTCAGCACCTCAACTACCAACTTCATAGGGCGAAGATGATCACCAAAAACCCAGATGGAGCAAAAGACGTTCATGACAACTGCTTGGACAGAGGTCCGCTACTGAGTATTATAGACTACAACCGCCACTCCTCTCCATCGCTTCTCCGTTCGAGAGCTCTCAGTGTGAGCTCGGAGCCGTTCACGCCTTCTCATCACTGCTCTGCCTCGAGATCTGCTGAACAATCTCCCCGGCCGCCACGCTCTCCCTACGAGCCTGGAGCACGACGGGGCCCTTGTAGTACTTCCTCGCGTTGACAAGGTACCAGATTGCGGCGATCGTCGAGAAGCCCGCGAACACGACAGACGCGTAGTTCATGCTCTCGGGCGTGACGGGGATGGCGGTCGGGAAGCAGAAAAGGACAATGCTGAACGTGATCCAGACGCAGCACACCGAGTTGATCGCGTACCCGAACCTGCCGAGCGAGAAGGGCGCGTTGCGCACGAGCTTGCGGCCGCGGAGAAGGGAGCAGAGCACGGGGAACGCGTACGAGCACCCGAGACAGATGGTCGCCGTGTTCGTGAATGCAGAGAAGGCGGCGGTGGAGCCGAGGTAGATCAGGCCGAGGAGAGCGCACACGATCGTGGACAGAATGAGCGCGTTGAGGGGCACGTCGAAGCGGCGGTTCACACGCCTCCACCACTTGCTCCCCGGGATACCGCCGTCGCGGGAGAATGCCCACGTACATCTCAGGGCGGCGGTCATGCTGCCGACGCTGGCGAAGAACCAGATTCCGAGGATGATGAAGAGAAGACCGAGGGCGCCGCCGGGCGTACCCATCACCTTCTTGTAGAGTGTCGGCATGGGCTGGAGACCCGCGCCAGCGATCTCGAGCAGCTCGTCCGTGTCCCGGAGCACGAAGAGGATGGGGAGCAGGTACACGATGCCCGTGATTGCGGCCGCGACGACCGACAGCACCATCGCGCGCGGCACCTCGTGGCGCGGGTTGTGCACCTCCTCACACAGCGCTGCGACCATGCCGTAGCCGGTCTGCGTGTAGGCGGCCTGCAGCAGGCCGATGAAGAAGGACCAGCCCACGGGCCAGCCGGACGCGGAGGCATCAAAGTGGCCGAACGCGTAGGCACCCGAGTTGCGCGAGGGAGCCTTGACCAGGAGACTGACGACGATGGCAATCACGCCGGCGCCAGTCCAGTACAGGCAGAGCGTGTTCAGGAACTCGAGGTGGCTGGGGTCAGCGGGGGGCCTATCAACGTCAGACGACGGCGCCACCGAGCGGAGTCCCGTCCCACCTGGGCCACCTAGCTCGCCCGTGCTGCGGGGGTCGGGGCGGGCAGTGGGTAGTCCAGTGGAGAAGGCCGCCACGGGGCACCGAGCACCACGCTTACTCACCGGTTGAAGAACAGGTTGATGAGGAGGACGAAGATCAGCGAGACCCAGTACACGAGGCAGGTCTGCCATGCCGTCGGAACGTAGTCGGGGTGGTATAGCGTGCCGGCCGCGAGAAGAAGCTGCGAGCCGCCGAACACGATCGACGCCGTCACCGTCCAGTTGCCGACGAGACCGAGCCAGCCCGTCAAATACGACGCCATCGCGCTGTACTTCGGCGTTGACAGCATTGCAGACCAATAGTATACTCCTCCGGACGTTGGGAACACCGAGCAGCTGCCGAAGTTAGCTTGGATCGGACTCCCTCAGCTTACATTTCACCCAAACTTGACGCAATGCATAGCGACATGCACGAGACGAAGATCCACTGGCAATGTCAGCTAAGAGATCGTAGGATGCATCACTCACGCCGTAGAGGATGGTCACGGGACCTCCGTTGGTGAGCGCGATAGGAAACGCAGTCGATGTACCAAACGGCACAGCCTGATGTTAGCGGCAATGCCAAGACAATGCTAGCGCACCATGATCGCGAAACTCAGACCGAGGATCGCAACCATGCCCAGGTTGCGATTGAGCTCCTGCTTGTAGCCCATCTCCTCGAGGGAGTGCGCCTCAGCGTCGACAGACTCGACCTGCACGACGTCTCTCTTCTCCTTGAGGGTTGTCTCCTCCATCGTTGCCGCGTTGCTGTTGAGTCAGGCGATCAAGCGGGGATGAGTGCGCGCGGTTGTTTGTTTGTTGTGGACTAGTGTGTGTGTAGAAGGAAAAGATGAAAGAAGTAAACCAAGGTCCCGAGATGCCGGCTTCGACTCAAGACGTGGACCAGATCACGGGGTCTGGGAGACAAGACATCGCCAAGGTCCGGAAGCCGTTGACAACCGCAATCCACAGCCTCCTCGACGATGTCATGAATCGAGTCTGGATCGCTCGCTTCCGAGGGCTCTCTCAGCTCTCTTCGCTCATACCCCAAACCCTTGATACGATACGAAACGCTGCCGCGGCCACGATTGGTGGGCGAACGCGACCCTGAAGCTTACCTTCAGCCCGGTCTCTGCCCACGCGCCGCGTCGTGTGCAAGATAACCTGCGCTCTGCGGGGTCCCCTGGTGAGTCCTTACCCTGGATACCAGCAGAAGCCCGAGAGGATTGCCGGGGACAGATACCACAGCCACGTACATCATCGACCTTGCCCACCTGTGCCAGTGACCAATGCCCGAGCTGGACGCTGCGGTGGCTCACCGTGAGATAGCCTGTCGTGTGGACTCTCCGACGCGGGTGACCCTGCAGTCCATGAGATCTGCGAAGCTTGCGTTTGAGGACACCGAGCACCCTATCAACTCGCGCGATATGGCTCAGGCTGGCACATGATAACCGCGCAGATAGTGTGGTTGGCCATGCTATCTGGCATTAATAGAACAGACCAACGTGATCAAAGCTTAGCCTGCTCCGAGCGCGACTTTCCGATGCCCATGTGCACAAGCCTCGCAGATACGGGAGGAACAGCCTGAATTGGACTCACGAGAGATCCGGCGGCACTCTCCCCAGTGCGCAACATACCGTGAGAACGGTTCCAGGCGGCAGCGAATCAACAGACACCATCCCCAGGTCCTCACCCTGAACCCACGGGGAAACCGACCTTCACCATCGTGCAAACGGCCCGCCAAAGACGAAAAAGAGGAATCTCTCTATCGAGAGGCTCCGACCCCGGCCCGACTCGAACGGACAACCTTCAGGAATCGTAAGATATCCCAGTCATTGGAATCTGAAGCGCTACCAATTACGCCACGGAGTCACCGTGGTGTGTTCATGCCTGGCGATCGGCGCGCGGGCTGTAGTTGCGTTCCAGTTCCGCATCCGCGCGTTGGAGACGCTTCTATGCAAGGATGAACAGCTTGAGGAGTTTGCGCAGTTAGAAAACGAAGGATGTCAGAGAAAAAAGGGTGAAGGTGGTGAGGAGGGAGGGTGGCGAGGTTGCGAGGGGACAACTGTGCTGCAGTCGGGTGGCGGAAAGGCGCTTGGCGTCTCAGCCCGTGATCGAGGAAGCTGGCTGCCCTTTATTCGTGGAGCTCAGAGATATTGTGCATTTCAAGAACGTTACGGGGCAGTGAGAGAAAACAGTTCTGCGAGCTGCACAGGGGCTTCATACGCCACACTGTGCTGGAAACTGCGGCAAAGCGATCGCGATCGCCGGGGCGCAAGCCATTGTGGAGGACAGGTCACACTCACATATGCTTCCACTCGACGTTGGCACCCAGAGCAAGCACCTCCCTCAGAGAACAGCGTCTTGCTGGCAAAGAGGAAGCCGAAGAAAAAAAGGTTCAAACGGCGAGTCGACATGGAGAAGAGGATACGGGGAGGAAGGAAGACACGGCGAGTGCAAGGCGGAGTGGGCGATCGAGATGTTGCTCGGATGTGCAGTTCTTGGAGTGAGACGAAGGCTGTGATGAGCGCCAGGGAGAAGCCAACATGGTCCTCGCGACGTCTGCTACGAAGGGGCACGGTCCGGCGCGCAGGTGAGGCGTTAAGAACCGGACTAGCTGGGGGCGAGGAAGACAGTAGCGGTCGCGATCAGCCACTTACCCCTTTCGCGCTGTCGCCGCAGACGCGCAGGTGCTGGGTGTCACTCCTTACTCACTGGTCGCTGTTGACACTCTCATCTCATCTTCCTTCCTCTCTTCCTCTGACTCCTCCTTCTCCCCCTTCACGCTCCTGCTCTCCCTGCTCTCACTCCTTGTCTACTACCCACATTCCTTCTGAGTCGACGATCTCTACACCCCTCACACTCTCCAACATGACTGTCGTACCTTCCCTCCCCGTCAAGCCCAAGGTGAGTCGCCACCCAGCCCTCAGTCCTCAGCTGGGCGATCGATGGCATAGCTAACCCCAGACCCCCTTCGACTACAGCGAGAAGGACGTGCACCGCATCCTGGCTCGAGCCAAAGTGACGTCGCACCGCATGACCCAGCTCGTCAAGAACCCCACCGCAGCGCACCGCAACGGCACCGTCGTGTCCGTCATTAGTCCCTCTGACGCGGGACGCCGGATCGTCTCTCTCATCGACAGCAACAGCGGCATCTTCATCCTGTGCGGGGGCCATGGGCGCGAGTCGGCCGTCGACGCAGTCGCGTACGCCCCCATCGTGCCGGGGATGGCGAGCAAGCCGATCCGCACAATCCAGTGGCCCGACATGGGCGGCATCGACGCGGCCGTGCTCGCCATCTGGCTCACGCGCAACTACCGGAGCAGCAACCTGCTCGACTCGCTCGACTCGCTCGTGATCGACCGCGAGGCGGCGCACAAGGACCTGGCCGCCGTCCTGCACGACGACGCGCCGTGCGAGCTCTCGAACAAGACGTTGAAGTGCGCCAACCACCCCATAGCCGTCGTGACCGAGTAGGACTCGGTCGTGCGCGCCCTCTGCGCCGAGGTCAAGGCGCTCCGCACCGAGGTCAGGAGCTTGCGCCACACCGCCTCGCGCGCCGAGCACTTTGAGGGTAAGTACAGGCGATACAAGGTCATGGCCGCCATTGGGGCGCGGTACAAGGAAGCGGCGAAGCAGTACCGCCTCATGCTCGCCGGGGTGGGGAAGCACACGGCCGCGCTGGTCGAGCATGTCGCCGCGGCGAGCAACCACGCCACCCTCGCTGCGCAGGAGGGCCAGCTGGCCGACGATGACTTTGCGTGGGCCTCGGACAGCGGGCCAGATACCGAGTGGGAATCGGAGCCCGGGGCGCCGCGCGGCGACCAGAGCTCGTTTGACTGGTCCGACGCCGAGGACTACGCATAAGACCCAGATCCATAGTGACATGTAGAAAGAAACGGTATAACGACTAGATTTACGATATGCAACGACCTCTTACGTCCCCATAGGAACGCTCGCTCGCGCTCGCGGCACCTAGTGCTCGCAGAAACTCCACCCGCCATTCCGGCTGAGCTCCTTATTCTCCTCGTCGACCTTTGCACTGCGCTCGTCCATGAACTCGAGGCGGATCTTCTTAGCCGTATCGAGGTCATACGGGCAGTCGACGTCGGTCATTACCTGCCTGACGAGTTCCTCGGGGAGGCGGTGCTCGAGCACATTCCGTCCCGCGTGGCCCCAGTGAGCCTGCTGCGGCGGTACGTTGGCGGTACCAACGACGGGCGTGGCGGGATCGACGAGGAAGAAGGCCAGAATCTTCCTGTGCCCCGGCCTGGACTTGTCGAGCAGCTCGAACGGCTCGACGCGGTGCTGATACGTGTTCGGGAACACGAGCACGCGGTCCTCGCGCGCCACCACTGCGCCGTGGTCCTGGATCGGGCTTGCGTCCCAGTCCGTCTCGATGTCAAAGTACTGCGCCGGGCCGGCGTGGTCGTTCTGGTCGTACCGGAACTCGACACTGAGGCCCTCGGGGCCCTCCCCGTTGCCGTTCGTGCGGAGCGCGAGCTTGCTCTCGCTAATGTTCGAGACGTCGTAGTAGTACAGCGCCGTCGCGCAGATACGCTCATTGTGCAGACCCTCCAGGTGCCAGCTGCCGCCTTCGTAGGCGGGCTTGTCGGGCGTGAGGTGGATGTTGGCCATCTTCACGATTACTTGGAGCCGCTTCGCGCCGCCGAAGAGGTCGCGGGACTTGAACGACTCGATGCCCGGGTAGGTGTAGGTGGCCACGGGGGGGTTGGGCTGCTGCACGGCGTGCGTGCGCTCGTACCACGCCTCCTGCTGCTCCCAGACGTCGTCGTCCTCGCTGTCGTCCTCCTCGTCGCGCGGCATGTTGTCGCTGTCGCAGTAGTCGCCGCACGCGTCTGGCGTCGTGCACTGGCGCTTCGTGTCCAGCGCCTCGATCCGCTTGCGCGGAGCCTCCCCCCAGTCCCAGGACATGACGCGCTCATACACCGCGTCAAACATGGGCAGCACACGCGCAAGCACGCCCCCGCACACGTCGTACAGCTCCTTGTACTCGACCGGGTGCAGGTTGTTGATGTAGCTTGCAAACGTGCACTGCACCTCGCCGTCTTCAGAGTACGCCACGTCCACCTCGGCGGGAAGCCACTGGAACCGCTGCGACAGGTGCGTCCGGTCGCCTGCGCCGGGGATCTTGGTGTCGCCGTTCACGATGCGGTCGAGCGCGCCGTTGAACCGCGTCCACTCCTCGTCCGTCGTCGGATGCCAGCTGCGGTACTCCATCAGCGCCTCCTTGTACCGCTCGCGCGTCCAGGGGACGTAGGTGTGGCCCATGACCTCGCCGGCGCCGATGAGCTCGAGCGCCGCCTCGGGCGAGGCGATCACGCGGTCCGTGAAGCCGCGCGAACGCCCATACACGAGCGGGAAGAGGGAGGGGTGCACGAGGTCGAGCACCTGCTCGTTGCTGCCCGGGTGCCAGTCCTTGTCCTTGTCGGGCACATCCTCGAGACGGGCGGCCTGCGTGCGCAGCCTGTCCTTCAGGTCGGCGGGGATGGCGCTGTCGCTCTTGAGGACGGCGGCGCTGCTCTCGAGCGCCGAGACGATGCCCGTCTTCTCCTCGATGCGCGCCTTGTCGCGCAGCTCGCGCACGCACCACGCAAACATGGCATCGCTGAACCCCCGGTTCCAGGGGAAGGGCAGGGCCTTGACTTGCTCAGAGGGGAAGGAGTCGCGGTCCTTGCGCCAGTCGATTGCCTTGTCGTCGTCATCGCACTCGGCCTCCTCCCACTCGGCCTTGTTCCAGAACTCGCCCTCGGTCGGCTCAGACCCCATCCGCTCCCTCAGCTCGCGGTACCACTTGCCCACGATAGTGTCGTCAAACACCTTGCGCGTCCACTCGGGCTTGTCGCTGATTGCCTCCATGAACGCCCACATGGCACGCTCGCGCGTGGTGACGGTGCCCGCGCGCCAGGACTCCTCCTCGATCGCCGAGGGGAAGAAGGCAAAGGTGTGTCCGGCCGCGGCCTTGGTTTGCGCCGGATACGTCGCGACGCGGTACCCGCTGGATGTCAGCTATCGTGTTCGTTCAGGTGAGCTGGGAGGTAGGAAAGGACTACTTACCGCTCATTCTCCTCATAGGTCGGGTCAAACTTCTTGACGTGCGCATCGATGGGCAAGCCGAGGCCGGGGAGCTTGACGTCCGCGCTCTGGGTGAGCCCGTTGTCCGTTGTCATGATGAGCCGATGTTGTTGTCTGGCGATGATCGAGCGAGACAAGAGTTTATATGCCGTCGCGAACAGTGTGAGTAGTTGGGTGACAGAGGGAGAGGAAGAGAGATGAGTCGAGGTGACTGTACTAGTGTCTGTGTGTGGGGGTGAAGGGTGGAGGAACAATTGTCCGTGCTGGAGTTGAGAGGGGGTAGGGGACAGGGGGAGGGAGGCTCGAGCCGCAAGCCGATCGACCGTGGTTTGAGCGTTGTATGTCGGATGGAGCGTGGCGTCCGAGGGCTGTGCAGCTGGAAAGCAGAGTCGTGTCAACCGCGAAAGCGCGAAACGAAGCCCTCTCTCGAGCTCTTGTGCAATGTGCGAAAGACGTGTAGCGCGTCGACGGGTATGAGGCAATTCATGTCGGATCCGGTCACCTCTCGGCCCCTAAGTTCCGGGGCGGCGCCTGGCGCGTCTGGGGCAAGATGCCGAACCGAACTTGGGGGCCCTGGGGACAGACGTCTTTGGGCCAATGTCCTCTGGGTCTTTGGGGCCGCTGACATGCTGCCCGCATCGAAGGCCCAGTAGCCCAAACTCTGAGCCGGGGGACCTTATTGTTGTAATGACGGTGAAGCTCTGTGCGCTGTTCCGGATCAACCACGTTCCGAGCCCTCCGAGACGAGCCACGAGCCCCGAGCCATGAAGCCCGGGTGTGCAGCGGGGAGCTTGTTCACCCGACCCTAGAATTCGCCAAGAAAACGCACACACGCGCCGCGCATGCCCGCACTGTCTGAAGTCCCGGGTCAGATGTGGGCATGTCAACGCGCAGGACCGCCGGTCCATGGACCATGGGCCATGGGCGATGGGCGAAGGGCATGAGCCCAGCCTGCCGCAAGCAGCAAGGGGGAGTGAGGATGGGCAGAGCGCGCTGTATCCGCTCTGCGTGTCTGCGAACTGAACCACCCGCAGCCACTGCACTTGCTGGACTATGAGGACTATGAGGGGGAGGCGGAAACCTGCCGGAATGCAGAGTTTCCATGGTTGAATCTTTGCCCGGTGGACTACTTAGCCTTAAACTTGCTCCAGGCTGACATTGATACTGCCCGATATCTTCTTGCTGACACGTGTTATCTCACAACCTACCCCGCGTTCAACTAATCGTCTGATCGAGCATCTCACAACGCTGCCTTAGTCACCCTCCCACGCCCCCGCCCTCGCTGCGCTCGTGTTCGTGCCCAGTTCTGCCACAGTACACATACATGCACTACCGTAGTCGTGTCTATTACAAATGCATGATTGGGTTGGGTTGGGGTGGGTATGGGGTTGAAGTGGAATGGAAGTAGTGAAGAAAATGAATGCCTTTGAGAGAGAGAGAGAGAGAGGAAATCTGGGTTTGTTCCAAGTTAAAGAAGTAAACTTGCGGGGTTTCGGTTTGTCTAACATTGTAGGTTTGTCTAGGTGTTTGCGTCGCTGTCTGAGACTCGACGCGCTCGCTGCGCTCGCTCGGCTTATCGCCCACCATAATCATCCAGCGGCCCCAGGGGACCGTACGTCTTCGATCGCTGCCGTGCGTGCTGCCCCTGGTGTTGCCCACTTTCGACACTGGTAGAAGTCGCTCCGTGGTCCTGCAACTGCACGCCCATGCTTGCCGACGCAGAAGGCATCGGCGAGCCACCGCCCGAGCTGCGCGGCGACAGCGGGCTGTACTCGTTTGGCGGTGAAGCCTTCGGCGTGCGCGTGTAGTCGGTCGGCTGGGCCGGATGGCGGTGTAACGGGCTCGACTCGTTGCGCTCTGGACGCCATGCGGCCGCTGGCGGCTCGTCGAAGCCTTGGTCCAGCAGGGCCGCCATCTCGTCCATGCCCAACACTTGCGTGCCGGGGCGAGCGGCGACGGCGTTCGGCGCAAGCGCCATCGGCGGCGGGGGGTAGGCGGGGTGGTTCTCGTTGTATCCGCCAATCTCGGCGCCCCAGACGTCTTCCTCGGATGACATGATTGAGCCCGAGTCGTCGGAAAGCGCGGCCCGAGAGACGTTGCGCGGGATGGTGAGCGCGTCCGGGTCGTCGTTGTAGAAGCCCTGGCCGTGCGCGCGCTCCATCTGCTTTCTGCGCTTCTCCTCGCGGCGAAGCTTGCGCAGGCGGCTGCGCTCCCAATCCTCCCATCGTCGTAGCGGGATCGTGGTGCCGTCAAAGATCGCCTTGTCACCGCCGTGGCCAGCCTTGTCGACGACCTCGCCCTCGACCTTTCGCGTCTCTCCCCAGGAGAAGTCGTCAAAGTGCCAGAACGAGTACACGGGGAGCACAAAGTTCCACACGGGCAGCGCGCAGAGATAGACCAGCATCCAGGCCACGTAGATCATCTTGCGCGTCGTCAGCGTGATGAGCACGGCCGGGAGACCGAGAATGCACGCGAGCAGCATGAGCGGGATCGCCTCGACAAAGTCGGTCGGCGGCTTGATGATCGAGTTGATGATGAGCGCGCCCGTGAGACAAATGGCGATGGGCAGGACGATCGTTCCGACCAGGTCCATGAACACGACAAACTGCATCGAGAAGCAGAACGTGCCGCAGAGGTCGCGCACGAGGACCAGCTCCATGAGGTTGTGGATCGTGGAGTTGATCCAGCGACGGCGCTGGGACAGAAGGACCTTGAACTCGTCGGGCGCGATGGTGCGGCAACGGGCTTGCGGGAGGAAGACGTTGCGGCGGTGCGGGAACGTTCGCAGCATGATGGTCGACAGGAAACGGTCCTCACCGAGGAGGAGCAGGTTCTTCTGGTGCAGCGTCACGACGTCCGACTGGCTGTACTCGCGCACGATTTCCGGCTTGACCAGGATCGGGACCCAGTCGTCGTCGTCGTCCTTGCGCGCCTTGATGCGGTACATGGAGAAACAGCCTGGCAAACACGTCACACCTCCGAATACCGATTCGAATGCCTTGATGTGGTGATGCGAAATGTAGTACTCGAACACCTGAATCGCCGTGACCCACGACTGCCGCTTGTTCGCGATACGCGTCTCGCCGCACACGCCCATGACCCGGCTGTCGTTCGCCATGCAGTGCACGAGGTGCGTCAGCGAGTCGGGGTACACCTTGGTGTCGGCGTCGACCATGAGGCAGAGCTCGAAAAAGTCGGGGGTGACGCCCATCAGCGTCTGGACCTTGCGGAAGAGATCGTAGTCGAGGGGCGTCATGCGGTCGTTGTACGTGCAGCGCGAGAAGAAGTTCATGAGGATCAGCTGCGAGTCACGCTTGCCACGGTTTCCAGGTGGCGTCGTTGGCCTCGGACGGCATGCCACACTTGACGACGATGACGGCGGGCGTGCGGTGACCGTTCTTGGTAAGATAGTGTCCCGCGTAGACCATGGCACGGTTCTCCTTCTTGGCGCCAGATCCGACAGCAATATAACCCATCGGTTGAGGGTTTCCGAATCGAGGGTCGGCATCGAGCATACTAACACAGATGTCGGGCGTGCTCATCTTCTCGCCGGCACCCGTGATCATGCCGTCGCAGACGATCCACAGCAGTTTGCGCTGGTCGGGGAAAGTCGTCGAGGCGATCGAATCGAGCGTTCCACGGATTCCTTCCTCGCCTTCCGAGTAACATGTGATGAGGCAGACGGTGAACAGGTCCTGGCCGATCTGTGCCATGTCCATGATCGGTGCAGGGGCAGACTTCTGTCCGTTCTGCCCAGACGCCCACGGGGCAGTACCGTTCTGGTTGTTGACCGACACATTGGCACCCTCGGGCATGACGGTAGGTGCAATGGCGCGCCCGTGGACGTCCTGCTTCTCGACGAGGCGATGCGCGATAAACCAGTTGAAGATCAGGGCCATGAAGAAACGAATGAGCACGACACCGAGAATGACACCCAGCGAGCAGTACAGGAAGAGCGCGGCGACGAAACATCCTGGCGTCATCTTGTCAATGTGGCCGGCGAGGTATCGAGACTTCATGCAGGGGATGGCGTCGCGCAGCTCCTGCGTGTGGTAGAACTGGTTCGTGACATCCTTGCCCGAGCTGCGTTGCTTGTCGAGTGCTCGTCGGATCACCTGGTCGACGGGGTCGTTCTCGATCGAATTCGGGTTCGCCGCGAGGTACGGGCCCATGTTCAGGACGTAGCCGTCAAGCACGAGATAGTCGTCGAGCTTGGCGACCTGCTCCCACGAGTATCCCTCCCACAGGGTCAAGTTCTTGAGCTTGAGCGTCTCGACCGTCTGCTTGTTGAGCTGGGGAAGAGAGCAGATGGGGTCCGTGGACGTCCCGGACGGGTCCTTCGTGGGACACAGAGGCGAGGTGGCGTACTTTGCGTTCTTGCCTTGGCACTCGGGGTAGTCGTCGTTATTCCGCTGGAAGAGCATGGTGATGTCCTGGCCCGACATATTGTTCGCGAGCTGGTAAAAGTTGACATGTTCTGGCGTCGCCGACTCGGAAATGTCAAAGGCATATCCTCGGATACTCAGAGTGCCTGTTGTCAGCTTGAATGAGGAAGAAGATAGAGCTTACTGTTCTGAGATCCAAGTAGCTGGTACGCCTTGTTCGTCTCGCCTCCCGGACAAAGAGCGGACTGAAGACCCATGGTCGCAAAACCGACGATCGCACCCATAATGACGGCAATGGTGCAGAGGGTGACCTTTTCTCGCCAGGCCTGCTGCGTCTGCTTGTCTTTGATACCACATGCCCGGAGAAGTGCTGGCGGAGCGTAGAACGTAGCGATCCACGACGTCAGCACCCACCAGTTCCAGTTCCCGCCCTCTGCCGGTGTCGTCTGTGCCGACGTCCCCGGGTTGATGAGAGGTTCGGGTGCGACATGTCTCTCGGGTCTGGTGAGTGTTTTACTGCGCTTGACCGTTCCGCCTCTTGTGTTGCCTCGCCGGAGGGTCGGGTTGCGAGTGGGCATGGGCCCACTGGACGAATAGGGGAGGGGAGCATCGTCGTAGCGTGCCATCGCTACACTGTGTTCAGGTCGAGGCGGCGAGTATCATAAAGCGTAGAGGGGCGGAGCGTTGGTGGGTCGGGTGTGTGTCGGGGGCGTGTGTGTGTGTATGCAAGCGTTGACGAGGGGGGTGTATGTTCGTGTTGATCGTGAGCAAGAAATGTGATCGAAAGTGCGATGAGCGCGGTGAACGTGGTAAGGTCGTGAAGAAGAAGTGCGCTTGGTGCTGTGGGCCTTGCGCTAGCGGGGAAGGTTTGTGGTACAAGTACGCTGGGAGGACGGGTGACCAGTTCGGTGCTCGTGGATTTTGGGTGTGCGGGTTGTGCGCACAGATGAAGTGGTGGTGGTGGTCAAGGTCAAGACGAGGTGAAGGGGAAGGGCGGGGAAGGCGAAGAGATCGGTTGGGGGTGGAAGTCGGGGAGGAAGGGACAGTCGGGGAGGGGCGAGGGTTTTGTCGGTGTGCCGGTCGTGTCAGTCGATGACGGATAACGAAAGCCTTTGGGAGGAGGGAAGGAGGCGGCGAGAGATGAGCAGAAAGGAGGTTTGGAAGGGTGAGCAGAAGGTGGAATGCAAGGAGTGTGAGTGGAAAGTCGAGCACGGTGGATCGGATGGGTGGGTGGTTGATTTTACGGGTACGGTGGTGGACGACGGTGTGCGGTGTGCCAGTGAGTGAGCCGTGTGCCGTACGCCAGGGTCAGGGCAGAGCAGCAGAGCGCCTAAAGGCCCAAGGACGCAGGCAGAGCGCGTCTCTGCACTCTGCACTCTGCACTCTCTCTCTTGAACAACGACAATAGCCAGCGAGTTCCCGGGATAACTCTAATTAAGCGATTAGGACGGCATCGTGCAAAAGAGTAATCGGCAACGTGTCGTGTCATCCCTAGACCCTGAGGGGAAGGAAGGGGCCTGGGGGAACCTGGGCCAACGCTGGGCGAGGGAGAACCTGAACGCAGACCTGACCCATCGTCGATCACATTCAAGACAGCCCCGCCAGGCCCGCCAGTCTCTCTGCCCAGCCAGTGCCCAGTCGCACAGTAGTGTGCAGTGTGGTAAGGAGGACGCCACCGCTTCAGAAATTGTTTGAACTTTGCCATCTCATGAATACAACATGTGCATTGCATTTCTATGCTCTTCGCTTGGACAACTTTTTCTTGGGCCCTCTATTTCCGTCCACTCCGTCCTTTCGTTATTCCTCAGCCTTAGTGGCCTGCGTGTGCTGTGTATTGTCTTGTGCTCTGTAATGGGAACACCCGGTGTTGGTCAGTTTCTATCCTCGTCTTCTCCCAAGATGATATGGCTCACTCGTCCGTGTATTTGCACGATGGTACCAGAAATTTCTTGGCTCTCTTCCCCTTTGCTCCTTGTTCCCTGGTGCACAGATCATCTCTCTGGGCCCTTGGGCCTTGGGACGGACTGGCTTTTGGTTGGCATCAGACAAATCCGAGCAGCCTTCACAGAGGTCACAGAGGGGCAGAGTCGTCCCTTTCCATCCCTGGCCCTTTCCTGAGCTGGCCCTGGAACGTTCCTAGCCTTGACACCTCGCGCGCATGCGCGCAACGCGTCGGGATCTCTTCGACCTCTTCTCCTCTGCACCACCACAGATGCATAGGTATGTGGCCGCCGGTTCGAGGATGGAGGCTTGATGCACGAGCCAGACAGAAGATCCAGACCAGATCTGCGCGCTGGCCCTCGTCGCCTTCGTCTTGGCATGTCAATGATGGATTTGCACAAGCATGAGGCAGGCAATAAGCGGCAAAATCAAAGCAGTCTGCGGTCCTGGAGGATTTGGAGTCTTGACACCACGTCGGAATCTACTCGCCCCACCCTGCACGCAGGACCCTAGGCGCAGTCGACCGCCAGTCCGTCGGCCAGTAGGCCAGTACGCCAGTAGATTGCGGGCCTGTCCAGCCCGCTCCTTCTTGCTCGTCATCAGCGGCGGGTCTTGGTCGCTCAGTCGACAGCATCGACAGCAGGCATGGCTGGCATGGCTGGGAGGGCGCAGTCTGGCGCCGGGCGTCCAGCGCACGGCACGAGCTTGCCATTCCTCAACCTTCGAGGTGACTCGGCTCTCGATCTCGGCCTCTCGGGCCTCTGGGGGGTCAGACTGGCTTCCCTCACATCGTCGCTCTCTATGTCGGTGCGATGCCGGGCATGCCTGACCCCACCCCGCATACAACCTTGTTAATCTTCATTTCCTCGTCTGACGAGCCAGACTCGGAATTGGGAGTTGAGAGCTGACGCAAACTTATCCGGGTAACTGAGAGGCACGAAGACATTAGGTTGTTGAACGTGTGATCTGCACTGCTTAACTCGCAGAGCTGCGGCGGATGCCGGGGCCTGGGCGGGACGGCATACTTCGCTCGCTATACATTCTTCAGTCTTCACTCGCCCACTCGCCCAGCAATGGTACTAGATCTCTCGACCCCACCAGTAGAGGAATGGTCGTTTCACCTTGCTCATTCTCGTCGCGAAAACGCTTCGGAGCAGCAGAGCCCGTGCGGTTGGGCCACTCTGCGTCCTCGCTGCCCACGTTGATACGCCAAGACGTTAAGACGCGATCGCGGGGCATTCCCCGCACATCGCACACTGGGAGAGTGGGTCGGCATCCTTTACTGCGCACGGCAGGCGCGGTGCGCGCGCGGCGGGCGGGTGCTGACAGAGCCGCACTTTTGGTACATCGACCCTGACGACATTATCTCGAGCCCTCTCGAGCCCGCGAGTCCCTCAGCGACACCCGCTCGCTCCGCTGACGCGCTCACACGCGGATGCAAGCCCTCTCTTCCTTTGCTTCCCTCTCGTACCTGCACATCCCCGCGTATCCACCCAAGAATTGGAAGGTGCTAGCTGACATACATCCGAAAGTGCAAACGCACGCGCGCCGGAGCTTAACGTGCCCAACCTTACATCATCGACACACGCACTTGGCGCGCTGCTGCTGCTATATCTGCTCCCTTGGCGCGCTAGTCGCACCTTGGATTTTGGTAGCTGGTTTGCTGGGTTGCTCGGACCCAGGGCACGCTTGGCAGTAGATCGTCTATGACCGAGCTGCTGCAATGCAGAAATGCAGAATCCTTCTGCGATGAACCCAACCTTTCGGGGCTCGGGCGACAGGCTGAAATAGGGAGCTACGCACATCGCGGCAGGCGATAAGCTCTCAAGACCTGTCCCTCGTCCGACGGCTGGGTGTGCGGCATGCATCGCTCCGAAATCGCCGCGTCCGCTTATCGCACGAGGAGGGAGTCGGCGTCACGTTTGGCGCACGCTCTTGCCCATTGCAGTGCAGGTTCACTACTCCCTCGGCAGGTTCGAGTTGTAGGCCCACGGCCATGACGACCAGGCGCTCGTGCTACCGCTAGCCTCGGCACCGCCTGTGCCGGCCCCACTGAACATCGCGTTGATGTCCATGAGGGCGCTCGTGTCAATCGGGGTTGTGCCCGTTGTGCCCTCGAATCCCGATCCAGCCGCGCTTGGCGTCGCCGCTGACGTCGTCGCGTGTGCAAGGACCTCGAGCGGCGATAAGGTCTCTTCCGCTGGCCGGCCCGGGTTCGGCGCAGGCATGGAGTGGAAGATTTGTGCGTTCAGCATGTCCCACAGATTGTTGTCCGGTGGCGTAGGCGTCTGAACCGGAGCCGTTGATGTCGACTGCACGGGGAACGGCACGAAACCATGGTGCGCCATCTCCGTCCGCTTTCTCGCGTCGGGGACCGGCGGCGGCGCCCAGCCCAGCTTTTTGAGCTGCTCCTGGATCGAGGGGTCCTTCAGTAGATTCTCGACGTCTGGCGGCTGGCCGGATGCGATCTTCTTCGCCGCGCTGGAGCTCGCCTGCTTGGATGCTCCGGGGTTCGTGGTCTCCGAGAGCAACCGCTGAAGACTCGCTGCACTCGTGACACTGCACTTCATCGTCGTGCCCATCTCCTTCAGAGCTCCGATGCACGCCTGCACGTTCTCAATGCTGGACTTTGCTTTCCGAGACTGCTTGATCGCGTTCCTCGCGCTGAGAAGGTGCACAGTTCCAGCGCTGAAGACGATTTGGCTGAGCTGCACGGTCGAGTACTGCAATCCTGGGCACCGGCGATGGATGGTGATGATGTCGACAATCCTGGACGCGGCCTTCTCGCATTTGGCAACCGAATTGTCGGTCAGCGTGTCCTGCTGACCAGACTGCAGCTGCGCGAACCACGGTCGGTGGAGCAAAATCATTGTGAAGTAGTAGAACGCATGCAGATTGAGGATGTGGGAGGGGACAATGGCCTCAGAGTCGTCTGCAGCTGGGAGTCGCAGGGCTTCGGGAAGGGTTTCCGTCCACTGCTCGAGAGATGTACTGAGAGGAGTTAGTTTCGTGAAAGTCTGGGATAACTCACTCAAACTCTGATACCATGTGTCTGATGTTGTTGGAGCGAGTGTCGAAGCTCGTCGAGTACACAGTGCTCAGCACGCGCTCTGTGATGATGCAGAGCTTGCACATCCATACCCACGTCGTGCTTCGCCAGCCCTTGACGGGTTGCCGGGGCAAAGCCGACATGTTGGCCACGAGGTCCTTAGTGATCGGATCGAATGAGTATGTGACCTTCGTCTCCATGATCGGGTGCCACAGCACCTCGTCTTCCTCGGGGTCCGGGGCTGGCACAGGAATGTCGTGGTTGCACAGCACGATACTGGCGCTTCTTCCGACGTATGTGCTCCAGCATCTGCCAGGTCAGGATTATGTCATTGCAAATGACTTACTTGTCCAGGATGTACGCTGAGTAGAACATCTTGTAACGATACTGTCTTGTCTCGTCCGATATCGTGCCGTTGTTGACCCAGTACGAGCAGCTCGTCCCCAGTCCCACTGCGTGTCAGCTGTCGTTGTGCCCTTCCCAGCAGGCTCACAAGCTTGAACGAGTCTGAATCCAACCCCGGCATACACGAAGCCGAGGTTCTGCCGCGCGACGATGGCATGGTATGTTCCAAGAAGCAATACCCCCGACACTGTACTGAGCATGGCCGATTCGACCTCATCCTCGAAGAGGTCCTTCGCACGTCTAGAGAATGCCGTTCGTAACCGCTCGCGAACTTGAGGGTCGATCTGCAGGAGCGACACTCCAATCGCAAGAACAATGTTGTGCAGCATCGGGCTGTAGTACGCAGACTGGCGTGGCCGGACGACCGTACCCTCAACGGCGGGGGCGGTCCGCAGATCCGTTCGGAACTCCTTCTCGTGCACCCACATGCACTGTGGGTTGAAGTAATCGAAGAAGAGGCGTAGAACCTCGTCGTGCGTTGCTTGATCGAGTTCGGGGGAAGGCAGGGAAGACTCCTCCTTTCGCGGTGTCAGATTGGCAACGCGCTCCACTCGTCGCATCGACGCGCCCGCGAGGTTTGACGGCAGCGCTGGGGCGGATTCGGGATGCTTGAACACGGAGGTGTGACCGCACTCAACGAGCTGCCCCGTCTCTTCGTCAATCTGGCGTTAGTCAACTGCTCCCGAAGCTTTCTCACCTTGAGCCGATCAGACCCATGATTCACGGGTTTCAGAGCCTTCTTGTCTTTGTCCTCCGACGTGGCCTCGTCGATCGCGGTGGGACTGATGCCGTGTGACTTGAGGATGCTCTCGAGTGACCGAACGCGCGACTCGAGTGAGGCGACGTACGCTTTCGGTGTGGACCGTCTGCCGTCCTGTTCAGGGGTGTAAACGCAGTCTTCCTTATACACCTTGCAAATCGCTGCATGTTAGCTTAGAACCAGACGCAAGGGTAGAGCGACTGCACGTACCGCACGATGGTTGACCTCCGTCGCATTTTGTTTTCCTGTACGCAGTGGTTAGTACCTATCTCCCATGTTTAAGTCACGGATCAAGTGGAGGAAGACACGAACCTGAGGCGGCACGAGTTGCACGCTCTTGAAATGTGGGACACGCGCCGGCGCGATGTCTTGGGTCCGAGCAGAGAGTCGTCTGCAGGTCGAACGCGTGATTTGGACCGCTCTTCTGGTGTCGGTTTTGTGACCATTGTTGTGGCTGATGAGGAGAAAGGAAGGCAGCAAGTGGCCGGTCGGTCGCGAGGTGGATGCAAAAAGGTCGCAGATGCAAGGTCCGAGATCTCTGATTGTGGGCTGGAGCTGCCCGTGCCGCGGGGCCGGGGGCGGGGGACCCAAGGGGCGCAGGACCTGAGGAATGGATACCACGGCCAACTCCGTCCAATGGTTGGCAAACGGGGCTCCCACGGCGATGCCGATGGTGGCCGAACTTTGCCGGAGATTAGAGTCCCGGAGGCACCATGATAACAGAAACTGCATCCATTTGTCTCACCGGCCTCGTCTCGCGGTGAATATCGCAAGATAAGGAAGCCGAGACGTCAGTGTCAGGTAATCCGGGATGGCTGTAACTGTTTGCTAACCCCTGTTTGAGGTGCTTATCGGAGAGTTCCTTGCAGGCATCGATCTTCATCGGTCGTCGTCTCCGCAGGCCCAATCAGTCCCTACCACGTCTGCCTCAACGTTCTGGGCAGGAGACCCATTAACAGACTGAAAATTCAACCTCCAGAGAACTCCTCCGCTTTGGGGAGCATCGATCCTCAGGCGGCCATCTCATGTGAGAGCTGGAGACGTATAGTAATATCCTCTCAAGTCGTTGAGCTGGTGAGCCCCCTTGGACATTGGCACTGCTCTCTACATTCCCGTCTGCCGTGATTGTTTCTGCCATGAGAGATACGGGGTTCAGTGAAGGCTGTAAGCGTAATTTCAGCCGAGCATAGCGAATGCCTTGGTTGTTGCCGCTGTACAGAAACGTCAATTGAAGTGGCTCAGATCATGACCAGCGCCAGTCGAGTTGAGCGAGCTCTGCTTTTCATTCTGCATCAGTCAGTCCGACATGGCAGGAACTCGTTCTTTGGTGCGATACAGTGCAGGAAGAGTGCTGGCTCTGGCTTCCCAACAGCAAGGACGCCAGTGGCAGTAGGAGCTTCTTCAGCTCTTCTCATTGCCCAGTCCCTTCACCTTCGATGGACCCTCAGTTTTCCTTTCGCTTCGCTGTGCGACTGCAGGGGAGAGAACGATCAAGGCGCAGCCGCTCTTGATCTTTCCATGATCTCCTGGCGCTTCTGGCGCTTTCCTGCGCCTGGAATAGCTGTTGGCGATTCCAGCGATCGCAACAGGTGAGTACCGGTCACGTGATAGGGGTGCGATGATCAGAGTCCTGTGTAGTGCTGTTGCAGAGTCGATACGAGGTACGTCTGTGTTGGGTTTGTAAGCAAGACCTCGAAGGACTGATGGTCCCAGGGGGTGGAGTGCATGTGCTATAGCTTCCCCTCGACTCACTCTGAGACCTGGTGGGGGTTTGCCACAGCGCATCTGTGGTGGAGGAAGGTTGCCACACGGAAGCAAAGTGACATTGCTGGCCGTACCCAACGTCATCGTTGTTGTTCCTTCCTCCCAACATAAGTCCAGCCGACCATGGACATCGACAGCGACATCGACGCGCGACTCTCGGCTGCGGCGGGACAGGGGCAGCGCGAGCGAGTGGAGGGATACCTCTCGCTCCTCGCCGAGCTGCTCTCCACGAAACCTGTTCCGGTGCAGGCGCTCATCAAGTTCGGCCAGCACTTCACGACCTCGACGACCATGGCTATGGTTGTGGGATCGCGCGTGCTCGATGCGCTTGTCGCGGCTTTCTGTGCAGGCCTGCAGCTTGACGTCGACATCAATGACAACGGGGATAAGGAGAAATGGACGCAGCTTGGGAAGCAGGCATTCGATAGTGAGTTCCTGGACAGCTCTTTACGACTCGTTTCGCATGGGGCCATCCGAGACCGTGTTCTCTTCCCTGAGGATGCTGCAGCCTCACCGCATCGACAGCTGACATACAGACGAGGAAGGAGAGGAAGCGAGGAAGGCAGTCATCGAGGGTGTGCTGGAGCCGGATCTGGCAGGTTGGTGTGAGGAGCAGACCACGACACTGCGACACGCGCTCAGCCTGATTCGGCAGAAGGAGGAGGACTGGTATGGAGCGGCCAGGGCGCTGATGAACATTCCCCTAGAAGGTGGTGGGCGGTGAGCTCGACGATGCGAACCGGGACTGACCGCAGAATCGTCACCGACGAGGACAAGCTGGCCGTGTACATCAAGATCGTCCGTCTCCTTCTCGAGGTGAGTCCAATCATGCCTTGTCTTCGGCTGACATGCAGTGCGGCGAGTCTGGTCATGCGCAGACGTACTTCTCGCGTGCGCAGTCCCTCATCCAGCCGAGTACGGATCACAAAACGCAGCTCGAGTTCCGCCTGTCGCACGCGCGTTTGCTCGATTACTTTGCGCGTTTCACGGAGGCTGCGCAGAAGTATCACGAGATCTCCTTTGACACAGCGATCGACACGGACGACCGTGCGCACATGCTCGCCGCAGCTGTCACGACATCCATCCTCGCCCCCGCCGGCCCCCCGAGGCAGCGCATGCTCGCTAGCCTGAATCGCGACGAGCGCGTGCAGTCGCTTCCGCCGCACCTCGGCACGATGCTTAAGAAGATGCTCCTCGAGTACATCGTGCGTCCCGAGGAGGTAGAGGAGTTTGAGCGCGGACTTGAGCCCCACCAGCGCGCTATCGTCGAGGGTGGTGGGACGGTGCTTGAGCGCGCTATCCGCGAGCACAACGTTGGCGCCTGCGCCAAGGTCTACGACAATGTCGGCTTCGACGCTCTTGGAGAGCTGCTGGGTCTTGATGCCACGGCTGCAGAGGCGATTGCTCGCCGTATGATTGAGCAGGGACGGTGAGTCCATATTAGCTGAGCAAAGAATGGGTTAGCTAACGTCAGACTTCGCGCTTGGATTGACCAGCCGCTCGGATTGTTGTACTTCGAGTCGCGCAATGTTCATGACTCGGCAGACGCGCAGGGCACTGCCGGAGGACTCGGAATTGAACGTACCGAGGCGCCGATCGAATCCGTCTCGTGGTCCGAGAGGTGGGATGATCGCATTCGCGCTACAAGTTTGAAGGTGAGCATGGCATGGTAGGTCAGCTGACAACCAGGTCGAAGCCCTCGCGGCTACCATCCAGGAGCGCGGTCTCGTCGCGTGAATCAATACTGTATATACATCTATGACCATGTAACATTCTACCTGTGCAACCTATAGCCCTTATTGCGTCCAGAGTGTTCCAATGGGCTCGACCGGGTCAAAGGCTCGCTGAGCCTCGGACCAAATGGCCTCCTCGACCTCATCAAGCGTCCCCTCCGCTGAGACCTCGATCATGCGCTCCTGCCCGTGTTTCCGCCTGAGATCATCGAAGACAGCAGCAAACTGTCTTCGCACCTCCTTCTGGAGCTCGACGTTTTCGTACCTCTCCTGGCCGTACGCGCCCCGCTGAGCCGCAACCTCAGGCGAGAGGGTGAGGTACAATGTCAGATCAGGCAGGGGAAGACCCACGTCCGGAGCCTGGCAGTACCCAAAGTTGAGTCCCTTGGCGGCACTGAATGCGAGTCCGCTGAAGGCGTATCGGTCGACAACAACCGACTCACCCGCGTCGAGCGAGGCCAGAATGGAGCTGACGCATTCCCAGCGGTTGGCGCTAAAGAGGAGGTGGATTGCGTGGTCGTCCATCTCCGCCTTGGACTGGAGGTACGCATCGATCATCTTGCCGATGCCCGTCGTGCGGTCTGCGGTTAGCTCGTCAATGGAACCAACACAGCTGGGAGAAGGCAGGGGTGGGAGGACATACCAGGGAATTTCTGGAGACGAGCCTTGCGGCCCTCCTTCTGTAGTCGAGCGATGAGACGGTCAACCTGCGTCGTTTTCCCGGAGCGGTCGAGACCCTCAAACACGATGAGCGCGCCGCGTTGCACCATGGCTGTCCCTGCTTGTTGTTGTTGTTGGTTGGCGTTGACTTCCTGACGCGCTCGCGTCATGACCTTCCTCCTGGACCGCGCTGGTGGAGGCCGACTTGATTTCCTGACTTTGATCCCGCTATTGCAGAAGCGATACTAATCGACCTCGTCTTCCTCTGTAAGCACCATTACAGTTACTTGGTAGTGATGTGTCATTCTCACTCTCTCTGGTGTCAGGCCCACTCGCTCGCTGTGCAAGTGGTGACGTTGTACTCTGCTCTCAGGACCTGTGCTCAGCTACACCTCAACATCAACCTCTAGACACCATGGCACAGCGGCTCCCGCCCCTCGTCATCGACAATGGTACCGGCTACACCAAGATGGGGTAAGCATCTCTCGCCTGTCCGCCCAGTTCTGCCGCAGACACAGCGCTTCCTCGGTGGAGCCCGTGCTCGTCCAGTGTCCCAACGTCAAGCAGACAAGACATCGCCAGGCTGGACGGCAAACTCGTGAAATGAGAAACATCGCTAACATGCAGCTTTGCCGGCAACTCGGAGCCCTCATTCGTGTTTCCGACCGTGATCGCGACGCGCCAGGCGGCGTCGAGTTCGAACCAGGCCCGCGGAGGACGCACCCAGCCCACACGAGTCGGCGGTGTCGAGGACCTCGACTTCTACATCGGTGACGAGGCCATCGCCAATAGCCGGTGAGTAAAGAGCTGATTGTATGATGGCATAAGCTTACCGTCAGAACCTACTCACTGCACAACCCCATCCGCCACGGCATGATCGACAACTGGGACCTGATGGAGCGCTTCTGGGAGCAGTCCATCTTCAAGTACCTCCGTGCCGAGCCCGAGGACCACTACGTTCTTTTGGTGCGTGGTCGGCAGCAGATGCAGAGCTGACTGGCAGACTGAACCTCCTCTCAACCCCCCTGAGAACCGTGAGAACACGGCCGAGATCATGTTCGAGTCCTTCAACGTCGGCGGTCTGTACATTGCCGTCCAGGCTGTGCTTGCGCTCGCGGCATCGTGGACTTCGTCCAAGGTCTCGGAGCGCACTCTCACCGGTGTTGTCATCGACTCTGGAGATGGAGTCACTCGTGAGTTGAGGGTTCTTCCGGTTCAAACTGACTCGCAGACACGATTCCCGTTGCTGAGGGCTACGTGATCGGATCGTCGATCAAGCACATCCCCATCGCCGGTAGCGACATCACCAAGTTTGTGCAGCAGCTGCTGCGTGACCGCGGAGAGACGGCGAACATTCCGCCCGAGGACCAGATGCGCGTCGCGGAGAAGATCAAGGAGGACTACACGTACGTGTGCCAGGACATTGTCAAGGAGTTCCGAAAGTACGACGCGGACCCGTACCGCTACTTTGCCCGGTATGCCGGCGAGCACTCTGTCACCGGAAGGCAATACAACGTGGACGTCGGATACGAGCGGTTCCTCGCTCCGGAAATCTTCTTCAACCCCGAGATCTACAGCTCAGATTTCCTGACGCCTCTGCCCGAGGTTGTCGACAATGTGATCCAGAGCTCCCCGATCGACGTCCGACGTGGACTGTACAAGAACATTGTTCTGTCGGGAGGCTCGACCATGTTCAAGGACTTTGGCAAGCGCCTGCAGCGTGACATCAAGCACATTGTCGACGGTCGCATCCAGATGTCCGAGGACCGCTCTGGCAACCTGATCAAGAGCTCTGGCGTCGAGGTCAACGTCATCTCGCACAAGCGCCAGCGCTACGCCGTCTGGTACGGTGGATCGCTGATGGCGTCTACGCCCGAGTTCTACAACGTTTCGTATTCGCGCGCCGACTATGAGGAGTGCGGTCCCAGCCTCGTGCGCCGGTTCTCCATCTTCGGCTCGGCCAACTAAGCGGCGGAAGGAGAAGCGGACTGTCCGTCCGTGCGTCAGCAGCAGGCAGCGCTTTCGCCGGACCCTTCGCCGGGAACCATGGGTTTTAACGCACAAAACAGTAGTCTTTTAGATAGAAGTTTATGAATACCGTAAGCAGGGAGCGGCGAGGTGCTGACGATGGCGTTGGCGTTGGTGAAAGCGATGGCTGGGCCAACAGGCGGAGGGTCCGTGTCAGGGTCGGGAGTCAGGCGATCGGCGGCGCTGTCAGCCAGCGAAATCCACGAGTGCCATAGCGTCATCGCCCCCGCGTCCCCTCACTCCCCGCACACACCTCTAACCGGCACACGGCACCGTGACGCCTCCTCGAGCCCGGGCCGAAACACGACTCACCTCTTAGTCACCACAACTTCTCCTTTCTTGCATCCACCCACTCCACCATGTCCCGCCGTCCGTCAGCATCAGGGCGGCGCTTCAGCGAGGAGACTCTCCAGCTCCGCCGGCGGCGCTCTGTCAGCGCTACCCAGGGCGTAGACGCCGCCGAGTTTCTGGCATCGCGCCCTCGCAGACTCAGCATCACCAAGCCCCGAGCAGCCCGCAAGTGGCTCGAGTACCCGCAGCTCCTCGTCGCTGTCCTCATCGTCTTTGTCTTCCTGTGAGTGTCCGCTCAGCTGGCTGTCTGATCCCTGGATCAACAAAGTTTGATCCTGGTGATCGAGCAGAGTGATTGTGGTCCACTCGACCTTTCGGCGGACACTGCTCCCATCAGCTGACGGGATTGTCGGCATAGTAGCTAACGAACAGCACCGGCATCGCGATCTCGCTTTACTTCCGGACCTCGATCCCGACCTCGGTGCTGCGCAATGTGCACTCGCAGCTGGCGGAGCGGAGTGCATACTTTGCGCGCAAGTCGAACGTCTTTAACCGCGTCTTCGTCAAGAACGCCTGGGGCTGGACCGTCGCCGCCTACCTCTTCCACCTCCTGACCGCCCCTGGCCGCCCGCCAAACAGCACCGCCGTCGTGCCCGGGAAATGCAACCCGGCTCTACACGTGTGGTCGCCGCACCAGCGGCAGACGCGGAGCCAGCGCATGGCCACGCTCGTCCTTGCCTCTCTGGCCTGGATTGCCTTCACGGCTTGGATGTTTGGTGCAGGCCTGAACGACCGCATCATCCAGGCGACGGGGGGCGAGTGCGCCGTCCCCCTCCGCGGCCTCGCGCAGCGGTTCGGCATGGCTCCCGTCGATGCGCTTATTGCCGACACTGGGCGTCAGCCGCAGGTCCACGGCGACGACGTCTACCTGCCCCTGCCGAACCGGTTCTGCCAGACGACGCCGCTGATCGAGAAGAACCACCCGCACCTGTTCAATTTCCTGCGCGACGTGCACGGCGTGCATGAGCGCGTACATGCCGCCCTGCGTCTGCCTCCGCCGCGCTGGAGCGGCGGCTTCGATGTCAGCGGGCACGCCTTCCTGCTCACGCTTGGCGCGCTGATTCTGGCATCAGAGCTCGCGCCGTCCTGGCGCTCTGCGCTCGCGAAGAAGGCCGCCGGCGTCCGCGTTCTCAGCAACACGAACATGCGCCCGACGCTGCGGCACCGTCTCCACGTCCTCTCCACCATTGCGGGCAGCGCGCTCGTCGCACTCTGGGTGTGGATGCTCTTCATGACGGCCATCTACTTCCATGACCCGGATGAGAAGCTCGCCGGCCTTGCGCTCGGCCTCATTGCCGCGTTCGGCGTGCACCTCGCTGTGCCCCGGCAGCCGACGCAGGTTGTCGAGTACAAGGTTCGCGGACCTACGAGACGTCCGTCCCCTAAGCGCGAGGACAGCGTCGAGGCCGCCAACAAGGTTATTGGAGACTATGAGGTGCTCGGCGACGATGGCGAGGTAGAGGTTCTCGATGAGCACGCCGTGCTCGTTGAGTAGTCTCCTCTCGATCTCTCAAATCAAAACTATCTAGATCTATACACTCCTTCTCCTCTTCTTACACACGAGTATCACGTCATGAGATTCTGAAGTCTAATTCCCGTTGCATGGGCAGAAGCAAGAGGTCGGTCGACCCACGCAGGCCCGAGGCCGTGCGCACTGTGCCGCTTAAAGGAGACCATGTTACAGTATGCATGAAACCGTGAGACCGGAAGGACGACCCAAGAGACCAAAAGCACTACACTACAAAGAGGACAGTTGTTACAATATACGATCAGTGGGACAGCTTGATGCCGATAATGATGGCGACGACGGTCGCGACGGCAATGACGGCGACGGCGCCGACAATGATCTGGCTTGTAAGCTACACTGGCTAGTTTTCGTAGCTGAGCTGGGACACGCACCGGAGTCCTAAACGAGCGCCGCCGGCGGGGCTGGACGCGTGTGAATCCGATACTTGGGTGATCGAGATCGACCTCTGGGCCTGTCTCCCCTGTCTTTGTCAGATGTGAGCGGCCTCGGGAGGAAAGGGGGTGCATACCATGCTTCTCCTCGTCAAAGTTGACGAGCGGTTTGGGCTTTGCACGCCGTCCGCGACGGCCGCGCTTGCCGTGCCCGCTCTTGCCATTGAGGGGCTCGTGGGACCCGTCAGCTTCGAGCGCGGCCGCGTTCGCGCCTAATACCCCGCGCGCGGCGGCGATGGCCTCCTGCGCAGCGAGGAAGGAGTCGCGCCGCGTCTCGGTGCCGTCGTCCTCATCCCCCTCTGCGGGCGTTACGGAGATGGTCGGAATGATGAGCGTCGACTCGGTCTTCCTCCGTCCCGCCACTGCGCCAAGGGTGTCCTTGAGCGACTTGGACGAGGATTTGGGCGTGAGGGTTCGGATCGCGGGGACACCGGCGAGGCCAGCCACGGCGTTCGGGTGTGCCGGCGCCGCGCTCAGGAGCGCACCGACCAACTGCTTCTCGTCGATATGTTGCCTGTTGTCAGCTAAAGCGACATTAGCAGAGCTCACATCGCACAGACGGCTGCTTGACGCTTTTGGCTTGAGATGTGATGCGAGGCTCAGGTAGCGAACGCCAGTGGGAGATGACGTCGGAGAGGGGTCGGTCGGGGGAAGGTCAGTTGTAAGAAGAACGGTGGTCAAAGAGGAAGGAAGGAAGGAAGGTGGCAAGAGAGTGTGACTGAGCACCGCTGGCGGAGACTCGGACAGCGAGAGGGAAGGGTCGTCAGGACGTGAACAGAAAGGGAAGGCAAGAGATGGGAACGTCTGTCCTGCGCGCTACGCTTGCGAGGATGGTGGCCGGGTCGGAAGAGTCGTGAGGGAGACGTGACCACGCTCAGACGGGTACAAGGGAGGGCGAAAGTCGGGAGTAGAGAACGATTAGGTTGTCGAAGGCGAGGAAAGAAGAGAGTGAAGGCGACGGACAATGTAGAGTAAGGGAGTGCGTGCGTCGTCGTTGGAGATGGGATGAAGAGAGAGAAGGACCGTGCGTGTGTGTGGTCGTTGCTGTAGCGTAGTTGCGGAGAGTAGAGCAGAGGCGAGGCGAGGTCAGCGGCGCGTGTTGCAGTTGTACCGGTCCCGGCGCATTGGGCTTCTGGCCGCAGTGCGTGTGTGCGATGGAGATCTCAATGTGTACGGTTGTCTACGTCAGCGATCAGCGCGAGGAGCATGCTTTCAAGCCTCCAGCCGCCGGAAAGGGAAGGAGGGTATCGAGGCGACGCGCGAGACGCCCACAGGCCACAGGACCTTAGCACCTTAGCGTCGCACAGGAGGACAACGAGCCACAAGAGAGAGAGAGAGAGAATGAATGAATGCGCCGAATGCGACGCCAAGCACAGGCCCACGGCCCATATCGGCGCACCCAAAGCCCTGACCACTCGGCTCCTAGCCTAGCCCCCAGCCCATACCGCACTCAGCCGCGAGATGCACACGACAACTTCCGCAACAAGCCGTATCGCTCGTTCGCAAGAGACATGCAGTTACACGCTCCAAGGGCTAGCGGCAAGTTGCACACCTGTCATCTCACGTTTGTCGATCATCGATTCCGGCAGCAGCATGTCTGGCGGGCCGTGAGCCGTAGCTTGAAACCAGAAACGCATCGAGGGGAAAGTTGGTCGCATGATTGCTGCATACGGCAATCCAGAGTCGTGGTTGCGGTACAGTGTAGAGCAGATATCAATCGTCAGGCATTGGAGTTATCGTCGCGAAACCATCAAAGTCTTCGAGTCCGACATCTCTTGGTGTGAGAGACGCGCGTTCTGCGGTGAGACGCGCTGACTGCCACAACGGAGATTGCATGTCCGCAGCGGAACCTGATGTGTGAGCTGTGGGTGGTCGCCTGCTGCGCACTGCAGCGTGGCAGACGGTGAGCCTGGAATAGTCACGTGACCAGACTCACCGCCCCCCCTCCAGCTGGTTGCACCCTGGAACGCGCCGTCACTGCCCTCAGCGCAGTGGTCGTCATCCTCGCGAGTGCCCTCTCCATCTCTCCAGTTGACATTGACGACCTCCTTTCCCCCTTCCCCCCCATATCCCCCTTTCCTCGACTGTCGCATACACCGACTGCAGAGCCACCAAAACCAGTTGAATCACTGGCGGATTCAGTATACCTCCACATTTCGCACTTTCCACGTCGGCACAACTACCACCTTCCCTCCGTCACACCTAGAGTCGACGACGACAGCCCGCCGCCATGGGTGACAAACCCATTGTCGTAAGTTTACTTCGTTCCCATCGAACTTTGCTGACATTCAGTTTACCGAGCATGTTCAGGTGCGCCAGACGGATTACCCCGGGCATGCGCTCGGGGCGTGAGATGAATTCCACTGACGCAGCACAGCTCACCGCGCTGGGCATCCAGCCCGCCTCCATCTCGTTCCAGACGTTGACTCTTGAATCAGACCACTTCATTTGCGTGTAAGTAGATCTCTTGCGTCCCAATTTGATCTAACGGCAGGCGGGAAAATGTCAACGACACGAACCAGGTTGTCATCGTCGACCTGGCTGATGCCAACAATGTCATGAGGCGGCCAAGTATGTGTTGCGTGCCGTGCGACCGCTGACCGTTCCAGTCACCGCCGATTCGGCGATCATGCACCCCAAGGAGAAGATCATCGCCCTCAAAGGTAGGTTACCCTGGCCAAGAGATCCGTTAACCTCTCCCAGCCGGTCGTCAGCTCCAGGTCTTCAATCTCGCGACGAAGCAGAAGCTCGGATCTCACGTCATGAACGAGGATGTCACTTTCTGGGCCTGGATCAACGACACGACCCTCGGCATGGTCACTGAGCACTCGGTTTACCACTGGAAGGTGACTGAGGGCCAGGCTGCGCCCCAGAAGATCTTCGATCGCCACGCTTCGCTGAATGGCAATCAGATTATCAACTACCGCATGAGCGAGGACGGCCAGTGGCTCGTCCTCGTCGGAATCTCGTCGAACCCCGCTGCCGGGCAGCCCGGCTCGAACGCCTTCAAGATCAAGGGATCGATGCAGCTCTACTCGCTCGAGCGCGGTGTCTCGCAGCCCATTGAGGGCCACGCCGCTGCTTTCACCTCTGTCAAGATGGAGGGCGCCTCGCAGCCTAGCAAGCTGTTCTGTTTCGCCGTCCGTTCCGGCAACGGCGCCAAGCTCCATGTCGTCGAGATCGGCCACCAGGCTGGTCAGCCCGCGTTCCCCAAGAAGGCCGTCGACGTCTTCTTCCCGCCGGAGGCCACCAACGACTTCCCCGTTGCCATGCAGGTCTCGAAGAAGCACGGCATCATCTACCTTGTCACCAAGTTCGGCTTCATCCACCTTTACGAGGTCGAGAGCGGACAGTGCATCTACATGAACCGCATCTCGGGCGACACCATCTTCACGACCGCCCCCTACGAGCAGCTCAACGGTATCATTGGTGTCAACCGCAAGGGCCAGGTCCTCTCCGTCAGCGTTGACGAGGACACCATTGTTCCCTTCATCCAGAGTAAGTTGGGCTTTCAAGGTATCATCTGACCGTAGACACTCTCAACAACCCTGAGCTCGCCATCAAGCTGGCCACTCGTGCTGGCCTCCCTGGTGCCGACAACATGATCATGGAGCAGTACCAGCGCTACCTCCAGAGCGCCCAGTACAACGAGGCCGCCAAGATCGCTGCCAACTCGCCCCGTGGCATTCTGCGCACTCCCCAGACCATCGAGACGTTCAAGAGTCTGCCTAACGTCCCGGGCTCGCTTTCACCCATCCTGCAGTACTTCGGCATCCTCCTCGAGAAGGGAGAGCTCAACAAGTACGAGTCTCTCGAGCTCGCTCGTCCTGTCATCCAGCAGGGCAAGAAGCAGCTCCTCGAGAAGTGGCTCAAGGAGAACAAGCTCGAGTGCAGCGAGGAGCTCGGTGACATGGTTCGCACGGTCGACATGAACCTCGCGCTCTCGGTCTACCTCCGCGCCAACGTCCCCAACAAGGTCGTCGCCTGCTTTGCCGAGCTCAACCAGTTCGACAAGATCGTTCTTTATTCTAAGAAGGTCGGCTACACCCCCGACTACGCGCAGCTTCTCCAGCACCTCGTCCGCATCAACCCGGACAAGGGTGCCGAGTTTGCTACCCAGCTCGTCAACGACGAGAACGGACCTCTCGTTGACCTCGACCGTGTTGTTGACATCTTCATGGCCCAGAACATGGTCCAGCAGGTCACCTCCTTCCTCCTTGACGCCCTCAAGGACAACAAGCCTGAGCAGGGTCACCTCCAGACTCGTCTGCTCGAGATCAACCTGACCAACGCCCCTCAGGTTGCTGACGCTATCCTTGGCAACGAGATGTTCACCCACTACGACCGTCCTCGGATCGCCAACCTCGCGGAGAAGGCTGGCCTCGCCCAGCGTGCCCTCGAGCACTACGACGACATCAACGACATCAAGCGCGTCGTCGTCCACACTCCCCTGTTCAACTCGGACTGGCTTATCAACTACTTTGGCAAGCTCACTGTTGAGCAGTCTTTCGAGTGCATGCGCGAGATGCTCAAGTCGAACATGCGCCAGAACAGCGCCATCGTGGTCCAGATCGCTACCAAGTACTCTGACCTCCTCGGCCCCGTCAAGCTCATCGAGATGTTCGAGCAGTTCAAGTCGGCCGAGTGCCTCTACTACTATCTCGGATCGATCGTCAACCTCTCCGAGGATCCCGAGGTCCACTTCAAGTACATCCAGGCCGCTACCCGCACTGGTCAGATCCGCGAGGTTGAGCGCATCTGTCGCGAGTCGAACTACTACAACCCCGAGAAGGTCAAGAACTTCCTCAAGGAGGCCAAGCTCGAGGACCAGCTTCCGCTCATCATTGTGTGCGACCGCTTCGACTTCGTTCACGACCTCGTCCTTTACCTCTACCAGAACGGTCTCACCAACTTCATCGAGATCTACGTCCAGCGTGTCAACGCTGCTCGTACTCCTCAGGTCATTGGCGGCCTCCTCGATGTCGACTGCGACGAGAGCACCGTCAAGAACCTGCTCATGTCTGTCACCGGCACCTTCCCCATTGAGGAGCTTGTTGAGGAGGTTGAGAAGCGCAACCGCCTCAAGCTCATCCTTCCCTGGCTCAACCAGAAGGTCGAGCAGGGTTCGACCGACAAGGAGGTCTACAACGCTGTTGCCAAGATCTCGATCGACTCGAACAACAACCCCGAGGCGTTCCTCAAGGACAACAACCTGTACGACCCTGCTGTCGTCGGAAAGTACTGCGAGAAGCGTGACCCGTACCTCGCCTACATCGCGTACGCCAAGGGCTTCTGCGACGACGAGCTCATCAACGTCACCAACGACAACCAGATGTACAAGCACCAGGCTCGCTACCTCGTCAAGCGCCGTGATGTCGACCTCTGGACTCAGGTTCTCAACCCTGAGAGCATCCACCGTCGTGCTCTGATCGACCAGGTCGTTTCCACTGCCATTCCCGAGTGCACCGACCCCGACGATGTCTCCGTCACCGTCAAGGCGTTCATGCACATGGAGCTCCACGGACCTCTCATCGAGCTACTCGAGAAGATCATCCTCGAGCCCTCGCCCTTCAGCGACAACAAGTCGCTCCAGTCACTCATGTTCCTTACCGCCATCCGCAACGACAAGGGACGCGTCATGGGTTACATCAACAAGCTCGAGGGCTACGATGTTGAGGCAATCGCCAAGGTCGCTACCGAGTCCGAGCTCTACGAGGAGGCGTTCACGATCTACCAGAAGCACAACATGCACGCTGAGGCCATGAACGTCCTCGTCGAGCACATGGTCTCGATCGACCGTGGTGTCGCCTACGCGAACAAGGTCAACGAGCCCGCCGTCTACAGCCGTCTCGCCAAGGCCCAGCTTGACGGTCTCCGTGTCAAGGACGCCATCGACTCTTACATCAAGGCGGACGACCCCTCCAACTTTGAGGAGGTCATTGAGATTGCCAACCGCGCTGGCAAGAACGACGACCTCGTGCGCTACCTGCAGATGGCCCGCAAGACTGCCCGTGAGCCCAAGATTGACACCGAGCTTGCCTACAACCTCGCGAAGACTAACCGTCTTCGTGACATGGAGGAGTTCCTGTCGATGACCAACGTCGCCGACATCCTTGCCACTGGTGACAAATGGTGAGTTAAGCTACGACCACATGTTAACTAACGTCAGTTTCGAAGACGAGCTCTACGAGGCCGCCAAGATCCTCTACACCTCGCAGTCTAACTACGCCCGTCTCGCGACCACCCTTATCTACCTCGGCGAGATGGCTGAGGCCGTCGAGGCTGCCCGCAAGGCTGGCAACACCCAGGTCTACAAGCAGGTCCACGCCGCTGCCCTCGACAAGAAGGAGTTCAAGCTTGCGCAGATCGCTGGCCTCAACCTGATTGTCCACGCCGAGATGCTCAACGACGTCGTCAAGCTCTACGAGCGTCAGGGCTACTTCGAGCAGCTTATCTCCCTCCTCGAGGCCGGTACTGTTCTTGAGCGTGTCCACATGGGTCTGCTCACCGCTCTCGCCGACGCCTACTCGAAGTACGCCCCGGAGAAGCTCATGGAGTACCTCAAGACGTACTGGCAGCGCATCAACCTTGCCAAGGCTATCCGCTCCGCTGAGGCTGCCGCGCTCTGGCCGGAGCTCGTCTTCACTTACATCAAGTACGACGAGATGGACAACGCCGCTCTCGCCATGCTCGAGCGCTTTGGTGACTGGGACCACGAGCAGTTCAAGAAGGTTATCGCCAAGGTTGCCAACACCGAGATCATCTACCGCTCCATCTCGTTCTACATCTCGAACCAGCCTCTTCTGCTCAACGACCTGCTCGCTACGGTTAGCACCCGTGTCGACCACGCTCGTGTCGTGAAGATCCTCCAGGCGGCCGACAACGTTCCTCTCGCCAAGAAGTACCTGATCGCTACCCAGAAGCTCAACCTCCGCGTCATCAACGAGGCTTACAACGATCTCCTCATCGAGGAAGAGGACGCCCAGACCCTGCGCTCCAGCCTGGAGAGCTACGACCAGTACGACGCCATTGCCCTCGCCAAGCAGCTGGAGAAGCACGAGCTCCTCGAGTTCAGGCGTATCGCTGCTCTGCTCTACCGCCTGAACAGCAAGTGGGAGGAGTCTCTGTCGGTCTCGAAGGCCGACCGCCTGTGGGCCGATGCCCTCGAGACTGCTGCCGCGTCGCAGTCGTTCGAGGTTGTTGAGGAGCTCGGAGAGTACTTTGTTTCCATCGGAAACAAGGATGCCTTCACTGCTCTCCTCTACGTCTGCTACGACTACGTCAGGCCAGACTGGGTCGAGTACCAGTCGTGGCGCTTCGGTCTCGGCGACTACATCATGCCGTACAAGCTGCAGAACGCCGCTCAGACGACACAGAAGATTGCCGCGCTGGAGAAGGAGCTCGCCGAGCTCAAGACGAAGCAGAAGGCGGCCGAGCCCGAGGAGGAGCAGAGCACGGGCATGCTTGGCGGCTTTGGTGGCCGTCTCATGATTGGCGGACCGGGCGGCATGAACGGCGGGGGGATGATGGGCCAGCCGACGGGCGGTATGATGATGGGCCAGCCGACCGGCATGATGCAGCAGCCGACTGGATTCTATTAAGTTAATGTTGAATAAACGACCCCCCATCTCACCCCCCGATCTGTCTTCCCCATCTTTTTGTCCCATCCCTCCCTCTCCCTCTCTTTCTCGTTAGCGGTTAGCATTGTGCGATATCGGACGGTACGCGGCACGACGTGTGACATAAATCACAGTAGAGATATGAATAAATAAGAATACGCAGCATTGGACGCAGCAACAAGGTTGAGGATGGCTTGTGCTCTGGTGGCGCCGACGCAGGCAGGTTGGTCCATCACGCAGATTCTCTCGCCTTCAGGTCGTGATATGTCGACTCTCGTCACAGTATTCACTTGGTATCAACCTGCCTTCTTCGATCGTTACATCACCCTTCGAGCACGCCTCGGCAACCCTGGTACCAACTCGCAGTCCCTGACCGCCCCGGATACCCCTTTCCCCGCACCTCGTGGCGGCCCGTCGCCATCTCCGGCCCCTTCCGCCCCAGGGACATCAACATCCGCCGCCGCTGCCGCCTGCTACCTCGACAGATCTCCCAACAGCTCCATCGCATGAAGGCAGTCGACCGCATACCCCTCTGCCACAAAGGTATCAGACCAAGTTGCGCGAGGATGCGAGGGCGGTCCTCGGCACGAGGCGTTCGCGAGCTGTAGATGGCAGATGCCGATGGCAACCCGGTGAAGTGGGCGGCAGCCTCGGCCGATTGCTCGGCGGAGTGAGTAAGTTTTCTCTGCAGACGGAATCGAGAGCTCTGAGGTATGGAACGCAGATTAGGAGCCCGAGTATGCAGAGGTGCGGAGGTGGACTTGATCCGGACGGAGATTGAGTTAAGATACCGCACAAGTGTCCGCGCAGGGCCGAGATGGGCTATTTTCGGACCAGGGACCGTTGGGCGTGTCGCGACTTGCTTTTGAAGATCGACACTTTGTCGAGGAGCATTGGTTGCATTCGGGTAAGCGGAAGCGGTGCAGTACACCTCTGCAATGAAAACGTCGACCACTGCATTCAGGAGCATGACTGGCATGGAAACGGTAAGAAGAGCAATGCATTCCATGTCTGGATGAGGAGATGAATTCCATGTCCGACGAGGCACGGTTCCGAAGAAGCCACCCGAAGGCGATGCTGATAACGCCTGCGTAACAGCCCCGCCGCCGTCTGTGCTTGTCCGCCAGTTCCCCCAGATTGCCGCTGGTTCGACTGTTTTACCGCTCTGCAGCACTACAATGCAGTGCGTCACCCTATCACCATGCTCTGTACGGGCGCCGTCCGTGCCGCAATGCCGCATGCCGCAGCCAGGCTAGCCATGCACTGCGCGAGTGACGCTGGGGCATCGACGCCTTAAACACAGATCGACGTCGACTGTCGCCCTGTCGACTCTTCCTTCTTCTCACATCCCATCCTCACCACCTGTGACCCGCTTGACATATCATAACAACAGTCATTTGTCCGACTTTCACACCCAACTGCTCCTACCTTGACCTCGACTTTTGTTATTCTGTAAGCTGGAGAGGGAAGCAACTGCCGCTGTAGCTGACCCCAGCCTCCAAGCACGGTTCCGTCACCCTTCGATCGCCAGATCGACCCCACGGCTCCCCTCACGACAGACGACAGCAGCATGGCTATCGAAACCTCTCCACCACTGTACACGGTCAAGATCGTGTTCCACCGCGCCTACTCGCTCCCCATCGCAGACCTTCCCTCTCGCAGCTCTGATCCCTTTATCAGCGCCGAGATCCGACCTGCGCCTCCGACGTCACAGGAAGCTGAAGAGGATTCGTCGTTCTCACTCTCCAAGCTCTCATTGTCGAGCTCGCCGAGGAGAAAGTCGTTCACGCCAGACCTCGCCCCGCCGTCATCTTCCCCGCGGCGAGCTAGCTTTGGACGCGAGCTCGCGCCGCCATCGGCGCCCTCCCCTCGCCGGGCGAGCTTCACCCGGGACTTCCTCCGGACAACCTCGGCAGAGTCCGATGGCGTCGAGGGCATGACTGAGGGTGACCCGCCCCTCCGTTTCCGAACATGTACGGTGCAGCGCAGCCTGAACCCGGAGTGGGAGAGCGAGTGGATCGTCGCCGGCGTGCCGAGCAATGCTCTAATCGAGGCTCGGGTTTACGACGAGGACAGCTGGAAGGAGAAAGACGATTTGCTTGGGACCGCCTTCATCCCGCTCATTCTGAACGACCACAGCTCGAGTGAGTGGATGTCGTACAAGCTGAGCAAGAGCGGGGCGGACCCCGTTGCGCTCGGCATTAAGGCTGTCGTCGGCGCCTTCGATCGGGAGGCGCGGCAGGGAGCCTCCCTCGCCGTCAGCGTGCGCGTGCTCGGACGCACGAAGCGCAACATCGGTCGCATGTACACCATCAACTCGCACTGGTGGATTCACTACTCGCCCCTCGTCGGCAGTATCACCAACACGAAGACGCCAGGGCAGCTCGGCGACGCCTCGGAGCGGGAGCACTATGAGTGAGTTGTCAGGTAGTTGCATAACTAACAATAGTTTCCCCGCAAACCAGATGCAGCTTCATGGTCCCGTCCCGCTAGCACTGAAGCACCGCTTCTATCCGTTCAAGGGCTTCGTCGCGCCGATGTTTGAGGCCAAAGGACTTCGCGGCATGGCCATGCACCACATCATGCACCGGCAGCACAAGCAGACATACCACTTCGACGAGTGGACCAAGTACGGTGTCCTACCTGATCCACCTGCGCCGGAGTCGCGACACCCGTCTGTATCCGGCCCGAGCTTCTCCGAGCCCTTCCCTCCCACATCGCTGCTCGCTGCCTCAGAGACGTCCGTGCCCAAGTCCCAGGAATCAGTGGCAGGCAGCTCAGTGAAGTCTGTCGAGACTCAAGGCGGCGGCCATCCGGAGTACGAGATGGCGCGGCGCTTCCTCGACATGTGCCACTGGGGCAAGGGCGCGCGCATCTTCACGTATGTCATCACGCGCAACGGCATGATGCGGTTCACGGAGACAGGGCCCGAGTTCGCCATCGACCTGCTATCAAAACACATGATGCACGCCGACGTGGACACGTACGTTGCGTACAGCGGCGAGTTCTTCGTGCGCCCACGGCGGCGCGCCAATGGCTCAGCCGCCAGCTCCCCGACTCACTCGCGCGAGACATCGGCAACCTCGGTTGACACCAACGGCGAAGAGGAAGAGGACGTGCGGAACATGCTCGAGCCGGTGCCGGTCTGCATCGATGAGGCGGCCCACCCACTCCTGGATCGGAAGCGCACTTCGACTGTTTCAACCGTCGAGCGGCCTCACGGGCCACGCACAGTACTGGGCCGAGTCATCGTCTCGGGATTAGAACGCTTAGGTCCCAATCCCACATCAAATCAGCCCATCATCACGCGTACGCTGATGGGCCCTGACGGAGGCGGCAGTACCGATCCGCGGGACTACGAGCTCGTGATCGACAACGAGTCAGGCACGTATCGGCCACAGGTTGAGCTGCTCCCGATACTGCGCAAATGGCTCGCTGCCAACTTTGTGGGCCTCAAAGTGACGGCTATGAGCGGGATGGACCCGCAGCTGAAGAGCTGGAAGGATGACAGGAAGCAAAAGCGAAAGGAGAGGCTCCGCGGCCGTATCTTTGCTGCGGAGGAGAGCGATCTCTCCAGCGTCGAGAGCGACAGTGATGGAGACGAGGGGCTTCCGAAGGGCAAGCACGGGAAGGGATACGAGTTCCTCGCTGATCCGAAGGGGACGACGAAGAGAAAGGTGTGGAGGAGACGGAAGGCTGAGGTCTAGAGCTACCCACATAGAGTGTCGTAACGTACAATGCAATGCCATGTATTCCTGTCCTCGACGTGCTCATCAACCCCACACCGGCCGAGCTCGCTCCGTCGGAACGCGGCCTGCGGGGAACTCTGCGGCGACATCCCTCCACCCTAAGCATGCCGCGCGACGCGTTCTAATTGGGCATTACGATTCGCAATACCCCTCACCTCAGCCACTCCCTAATCCGCCCTTATCTGCTTTCGTAATGAGTCGCATGAGCCCAATTCACGCCACCGGTAATCGCCACGTGGCCCGGGTGGCCACTGAAATTTCAACGATTTCAAGATTTCGCCCGAGTCCTCCACCAGCGTTCGTCTCTCCTTACTCTTCGTGCATGCGGTTCCGACTCGCCCGTCTGCCGCTCACACAAGTCCTCCGTCCTTCTTTGCTTCCCCTTCCCCTCAGTGCGCGCTCGATCCGAACGATGACCGACGCCGCTCCCGCCTCCGTCGCGGTCCCCGCAGCCTCCACCTCCGCCCCCGCTCCGGCAGAGGTCGCCGCCCCGGCTCCGGTCAGCGCCGTTCCCGCCGAGAACGGAGCATCCACTTCGACCGCTGCCCAGCAGAAGAAGCCCGGACCCAAGGTCAACCCCTCCGGCAAGGGCAAGCGGAAGCGCAACCGCCGCCCGCTGCCGGATCCCTACTCGCCGGCCGACGTGCTGTACCACGACGTCGTTGACTTCCTCGGACCGGAGTACGTGAAGGAGGTGCTGGCGCGCGGCGACGAGAGCGAGTGGACCGCCCCCGAGGGACTGGAGCGGTTCAGCATCGTCGAGCTCAACGTCGGGGCTATGACTGTTAGTGGTGAGTTGACCTGTTCTTTACTGTGACTACCCGTGCCGGGGCGCGCACGGCCTCAGCAGCCAGCTCGATGATGGGATTAGCTGACGTCCAGGCGAGTCGCTGTCGCTGTACGAGGAGAACGGGAAGAAGTGGGCCGTCGTCGTACCCTTCGCGCATCCGGGTGATATCATCAAGGCGAAGATCTTCAAGCACGACCGCTTTTGCTCCTACGCCGATCTCGAGGCGACGCTGTCCTACTCCTCGGCCCTGCGCGGAGGGGAGGGTGACTTGTCGCAGAACCCCGAGGGACCGGGGTGCAAGTACTTTGGCGAGTGCGGTGGCTGCCAGCTGCAGCCGGTGCCCTACCGCCTCCAGCTGGCGCACAAGCAGCGCACCGTTGACCTGGCGTACAAGCGCTTCTCCTCCCTGCCGGCGAACAAGGTGCCGACAATCCTGCCGACGATCCCCTCTCCGCAGCAGTGGGGATACAGGACCAAGATCACGCCGCACTTTGACGCGGCGCCGCGCGCGGTCCGCGAGGGCGGAGAGGAGGCGCTCAACTCGTGGTCTGGGCCCAATGTCGGCTTCGACCGCAAGGGCAAGCCGGGCGTGCTCGACATCGAGGAGTGCCCGATCGCTACTCCCGTGCTGAACGCCAAGCTGACCGAGGAGCGGCAGCGCGTCAAGGACACGATCCTGTCCTTCAAGCGCGGCGCGACTGTGCTTCTGCGCGACTCGCTCGTCGCCCCCGACCCCCTCCCCGATGCGGACCACCCCTTCGACCCCGCCACGACGCAGGAGCACGTCGCCGTCACCAACCACAAGGAAACGGTCTACGAGCGCGTCGGCCCCTACCTGTTTTCCTTCAGTGCGGGCAATTTCTTCCAGAACAATAACAGCGTCCTCGTCCCGCTCACCGAGTACGTCAAGGAGGCGATTTTCCCCGAGGGCGTGCGTCCCCCCACGCACCTGGTCGACACGTACTGCGGCAGCGGTCTGTTCGGCATCACGCTGAGTGGGTGTTTCGAGCGTGTCGCCGGCGTCGAGATCTCGCAGGACAGCATCAACTTTGCGACGCGCAATGCCGAGCTCAACGGGCTCAGCGACAAGACGACCTGGCTGTGCGGCAAGGCCGAGGCGATCTTTGCCGGCCTCGCCGAGCAGGGCTTTGCCGGCTCGCACTCGTGCGTCGTCATCGACCCGCCCCGCAAGGGCTGCGACCAGCCGTTCCTCGAGCAGCTCCTCGACTTCCGCCCCCTCACGGCCGTCTATGTCTCTTGCAACGTGCACACTCAGGCTAGGGATGTGGGATGGTTCGTCGCTGAGAGCGAGAAGCGCGGCCAGGGAAGGTGGAAGTACGTCCTCGAGTCGCTGCGCGGGTTCGACCTCTTCCCCCAGACGGCGCACGTCGAGAGCGTCGCCGTCCTCCGCTTCGTGCAGTTGTAGCGCGCTTTAGGGTCAGGCGTTTTTAGGTTTCTTATGCATCTTAGACTGTAATCTCATCGTGCTCAAAGGTGGCCGTCGTTGGTCTCCTGCTCACGTCTCGGATTGCTAAATTAGGTTTAAGAGGCTCGAGATCGGAGAGAGGCTGCTATGCGCAGGCCGTCCCTGCCCAGATACCACCAAAACAGCCAAAAACTCATCGTGCCCCCACTCAGAATCGAACTGAGATCTAGAGACAGCTAACAAAGTGCTTATGAGACTCGCGTACTAACCATTATACTATAGAGGCTGAACGAAGAGGCTTCTGCCGGACTCGGCCGCCGGCCGCTGATGCCTGTTCGTCGATATCACGTGATTACGTGCCAGTCCTGTGATGGCCTTGGCTCAAGCTTCGTTGTAGCCCAATCCTCATACCTGTTGTCTCAACAATTATCCGTTCAAGTCTGTTCTCAGCGAGACAGGCTCTCAGTGACGCTCTACTGCTCTTTAACTGACTGTAGAGGTGCAAACAACTCTCTAAGCCTGCATGGTTCACCAACTCTGTCATGACCTGCACCATTAGGACGGTTACGTGACAGTATGCTCCCGGGGTAGAGTCTGCGGGTAGCGCAGACCCCCTGCTTGGTATTCATAGTCAGTGCTACTAGCACACATCAATGCCAATGTATATAACGGGCTGGGGGCCACAAAAGGTATTACAGAATTACACAATTCTAATTTCTTCTACTTAATTGTTGTTTTCATTGGAAGACCCTCTCATTGATGGAAACGCTCACTGCACAAAGCACTCACTGTGCAAAACACTGACCAAGCAAAACACTCGCCGAGCAAAACACTCACCGGGCAAAAC